CAAAACGAAAGCCACACTAATGAACAATGATCGTGCGTATTTTTTATGAATTTACGCCTGCAAACACATAACTTAGTAGAAATATTTGGGCACACATACATATTATAAACGCCCATAAGTATGCAGAACTTTCACACAACTCTACTGCTGATGTGTCGGGCAATGCTGGCATAGACAATGAATACGCCGTCGCGGCGTAAGGGCTCTTCTAGGCAGCAAATGCAAAAGTCAGACGCTAGAACGACATGTATATTAACGACACAACAACAACAAATTTGGAGTAACGCGAAAAGCATTGAAACGTGACAATCGTTGTTGCACATACATACATGTATGCAAATAAGTGCATTAATAATTTTTCTCTATTCAAACGAACAAATGCTAAAACATACAACGTATAAGCAGATGTGTGTCATTTGGTTGAAAGTTTAACGCAATGAAAGCGAAAATAAATACGTGACTGTGAATGAACAATTTTGCGCAGAGTCTACTTAAAGCTAAAATTAAAGCTTCGTGCTTACAAGTCGCAATATTGCACACGTGCATGTGTGAGTAATGAGCTTTACAGTTTACGGATTACAAGATACCATTACATTTCAAGCGATTATTGCAGCACATTAAGCAAATATTTCATAAAATTCAAAATTTTTACAAAATTCATAAACATTTTTTTTTTTTTTGAAGTTGCTAAATTTATAAAATTAATATTGTTTTCATCTTTCAGCACTTTCACTTCAATAAATTAATGCTTTAAATTATTATCTATTATGCCTACGCAACTCTGAACAAGCGCCTTTGGTTTTCCTCTGCTCACTCATTTCTGCTTCGTTCGATTGTGTAATGACAGGTATAGTAAGCGCTGAAAACAGTTAGCAATAGCCTGATAATGTCATGCCCAGACGCTGCGCGTAATTAATGCGCCAAACGACAGGCTGTGGCAGTTGTTAACCACTTAAAAGGTTGTAATAACAAGAAATGCGGCAACCGCAATACGCGAAGAGGTGACACGTTTTCCGCTTCAGTGTAATGCCTGCACACACATACATACAGTTCGAAATGTTGCAAGACCAAATAGCAGCATATGCATATATTTAAGTATTTAAAATAAATTGTATTTCAAATTAAGTTCATTAATATTTAATTGTGGATGAAATAAATGAAAGTGTCTGTTAGCTGGAAATGAATCAAAATTGAATGTCATACTCTCTAAGTGAGCATATGTAATATTACAAGAGCATGGCTTTCATTCTTGCACATTTAAAATTAGAAAACTGCTCTACTCAAAACACATAAAAACATATTTTTACACAGCATTGCTTTTCTTTTCTAGTTAAGGCATAACAATTCATCGCATTTGATCATATCACGTACTTATTTCATAAGCTTAGTTTACATCAGTCAAGTCCCTAAATCTCTTCTGCAAAAAAGGCACAAAATGTCCTTATTGTGTCAAAATATTTCAACGATAATCCATTCAACAGACTTGCGCTTGTCACAGCCTAAACTAATACATACAATGGCCATTCACGACAAATCCAATTTGACACCCGTGGGCATAAAAAGGTACACGCACAGCTTCATGTAGCAATGAGGAGCGCGCAATTTAAAGTGCTAAAACAACAAATAATAGGAAATTTGCAGGCTGTTGCGCAAGCATTCGAAATTTGAGCCCGGCAGCTTTACTCTGCAAAAAAGTCACATTTTTATTGTTTTTATGCCTAAATTTCGACTTTTCTATTTGCAACGAAATGAATGCGCAAAGAAAAGGAGAAAAGCGCAGGAGCCTTTGTTTTCATTGCTAAGCTAAGTTCATAGATAAACAAATGAACAATCAATCTTCTGTATAAACAAACAGTGATATCCAGGAGTGTGGCTAAATGAGAAGCAAAAAGTGCCACACACACACACTTACACTTCATATCCATGTCAGAAAGGAAGTAAGGCAATGGCATAGGCGACGTGCACACACCACAATTTATTTTTGTTAGAAAGTGCTTTATTTATTCGCTTGCAAAAAAGTCTTTAATGAATTCTGCACAATAGATATGAACCTAATACCCTGTAGGAATGCATTCGGTTTGATATTAATAATATTTTTTTTTTGGTGACACTAGTTCCTGACTAGTTTAGTGACCACATTATTTGGAAAAATACTGTTTTCGCTGCATTGATTTGTTGCTGATTTCCAAATACTCCTAACAGGGTATGTCAATACTCGGCATACATACATATATACACAATATATATATTTATGCTTAGGTATGCCGGAAAATCGTTTGCTTGAAATCCCAAACGCTCCCTAGGCGAATAATTGTATGCTGCCTGTCAGTGGAGTAGACAATGTGGTGCCGATTGCGTGCGTTGATATGAAGTACATGAAAGGCGAAAGCCCTGAAGGAAGTAGTTAGTTAACTTGTTTGTTTATAAACCGACACTTAATGTCTCTAATTTCTTTATGACAAAGGCGGTAATGACTTTGTTACAAGGAAAATTTGAGATGTTGCACAGCGCGTATAGTAAGTTTATGTCAAAAACACTTTTAAATTAGAAAAGTATTGAGAAAATTTAATATCCTCCTCCGTAGGGTTTTGGTTTTTTCTGCGCCAAATATTTTCAACGTGACTATTAAATGTAGAAAATTACAGGTACTAAAGGGATTTCTGATTGAAAAAAAAAAATATTCCAAAATTTTAACAACCAATCGTTTCACTGACGGACTGTAGACAACCCTCAAGTCATCTTTTAGACTAAGCTTTTACTTGGACATTTCAAAAACTTAGATACTCAACGGTGTACTTGCCCTACATATGTATGTATATATAGGTATTTGTCCATTACGAAAACACAAATACAAGGAAACAAATTATCATTTGTCTCTCTTCTCTCGCATAAAAGCTGTAGTCAAAGGCAAACAAACTGAATTGAAAATATTTCTAGCAGAAACCCAAACACAGCAGCTACTACATTAACTGCCATTGTCACATACATATGCACATGATTTTGTTCTACAACGAATCTGCAGCCAAATGAGCCTCTGAGTAAGTAAAATAAACGGACGCTTGATTAAGCGGAAGCACATGTGAGCTCGTATATGCATACATGTAAATCTGCAAGTGTCTGCCAGCGAGTATTTTCACATAATACACGCATGCATAATCGCTCACACATGCACGCTGCGTAGATGTCTGTTATTGTGCTTTATAAACTGTCTAATTGCTGATGTCTGCACAATTACGCTTTGTAGTTTAGATGTATGTGCGTGTATTTGTTATTGTTCCTTTGCATTTTGTTCCGCGCAGTGAGTGTTCAAGCACCACTCCAGCACCCAATCCGTATTCAAACAGCAATAACAACGACAGACACACTTATCACTCACATGCACACGCTCATACACAAGCGCATTATCATACATATATGCACAGCTGCGTAATTTAGTTGAACGTCAAAGTACTCGCATTGTGTTTAACTAATTGCCGAAAAGTTCTCGTGGCATGAGAAAGTGATGCTACGCTCGGAAAACGACACTTTGTGGCTATAGGAAAGTGCCCGTAAAGCGCTAAGGTAAGCGAGTCTTGTATGTGCATGTGTGTGTGTTTTAAGTATATGTGTATGTGTGGATGAGATGTGGTGAAGCAGAGCTGTCTCTTCCTGCAATTAAGTGAAGCCTTTTATGGGCGCATATTATCACTTACTGAAGAGCTTAAATTTCTTTCCACGCTCTGGCATCCGCAGCAAGCCGTTGTTCTTGGTTTGCTGGTGTGCGACGTTTGATGTTTGGTTCGAAACCCATTTAGATCATGTAGATCCTTAAATTTCACCAAAAATTGTTGCTTTTTTGTTAGACGGTCTAGAAAATATTTAAGACACATATCGTTTCACGAATTGGATCGCTTATCGCATAGCACCAACTTGCTGAGCGCAGCATATGGCGCAAGCGCGGCCCAGTATCCGTCAAAATTCTGAGCGCCAAACAATTATCATACAATTATAAACAGTCGCATTCTATAGTTTCGTAGTAAGTCTACTTTTGATGTCGCTAATACATTTATAGTACCACTTAAAGTTGCGCTTTTCATGAAGCCTTCATTTTGACTCATTATTGGGGCATTGCAGCTGATGAGCGCTCGTATTTTCTTGCCATTTCTGTACTTAATCATTTTATAAGCTGTACTGCACAGTTAATTCATTAAATGTTTAAACGGCATACTGAAAAATGCCACCAGCTTGTTTGAACATATGTAACACGTGGTATGTGAGACGCATATGAGATAAAGGCATGAAAAACTTGTACACACTTACGGCTTAAAATTGCATCATACTTGTATACTTGTATATCATTTAATTTAGCACATTTTAACAATTTTTAAAAAAAGCTTATCACAGGCATTTTTTGGTTTGTCCGGGAAGAGATATCTCTATTCAGCTCCGTTCTTCTAATATGCTGCTGCATAGGTTCAAACCTAAATACTACAGCTGTTGTCATAAGCCTTACGCCACAAGTTTCTCTACCATTTTCTTAGAGTAAATTCTGTTTAAAACAAAAAGTAGAAAGGCAGCTCAACGAGAGAACTCTCAACGGGAGAACTCTATAGGCTATCCCACCAAAATGTCTGACTTTCACCAGAAAAAAGCTGGTTCCTTCGAGTTTTAATTACGAAAATTTCTTCCAGATTTCGAGCGGCATTACTTGTTTAATACTCCATAATATATATTTATATATGACATTTCCTGCCTTTACCCAATCGTTAATATTTTTAAAAATAATCGATTAATTTGTGTCACATATGTTTGGTGAGTGTTCATCTTCAAAGATAATATCTCTCTTTTAGATTTACTCTTTGTTTGCAAATTTGGTATAAGCTGAACTTTGTAGCTTCTCTCCCAAAACAACATTTGTTCTAACAAGTCTCCCACTGAGCTCATCTATTAGATCAGCAGAAAACGAAAGTCAAAGCACATTTCAATAATAACAACAAACCGGCCAAATTAAATTCAAATATTAATTGTTGCTTAGTTGATTTTTGGCGCTCGTGGATGCAGCGGTGATCAAGTTTAAGAAAATAACACTGCAAAGTTAAAGCTTTAAAAATTGCATAAAAAAATTTAATTCTTAGTTTAATATTCCAAGCAGAAATATGGCTTGGCGTTACGCGTTCACTATTTCCGGCATACTTATACCGATCTCGCTGCTGTACTCATATTATCGCTACAAATTCAATTACTTCGAGAGACGCGGAATTCCGCATATAAAACCTGCTATGCTCAGCCGCAAGGAGCGATCGAAACACTTAATTCACAGCGCCTACGAAAAGTTCAAAGCAAGTACGCCTATTGTCGGTATATTCTTGCAAAGCGCGCCTGCAATAGTAGTGCTCGACTTGGATCTAGTGTCGCGCGTGCTCATTGATGACTTTTCAAGTTTCTGTGATCGTTTGGGAGAACATTTAGATGAAAACGATTTACTCCACTCCCCAGATAACGCCAAATGGCAGGCCATGCGTCGCAGGTTAACACCCTGTTTTTGGTCAGCAAAGATGGCTCAAATATTTCCGAGCGTCATTAGGGCAGCTGAGTGTTTAGAAGGCAAGTCAGGTGGGTTACTTCAAAGCGAATATGTCACCATAGACTTAAAAGCGCTCTGTACAAGCTACGCGGCTAACGCTTTGCTGAATTGTGTTTTTGGCGTTGAGCCGGATGACGCAAGTGAATCGACAGTGACGTTACGCTTGCGCATCAAACAGTTATTGGTGCATGAGTGCAAGACGCGTTTGTCTAGTAACGCTAAAGGATCGCTGGTGGATGCTGAGTGTATGAAGTGCACACATGCGCAAACAGCTTCACAAAAATATCCTGATCTGGAAGAGCTTGTTCGTAAGACAAGGATTGGGAGAAATGCAGATAAAGCAAAAAACAATAATATACTACATTTACTCGCCGATATGCTGACTGATGACGAAGCGGAGAGCAGCGATATGAATCGACTCGGTTATGAGTTGGAAGCAATGCATTTGGCCGTACGATCACTTGTCACACTACTAACAGGTTTTGCGAACTCGGCGTTAACTTTGATGCACTGTCTATATGAACTAGCGAGTAATGTAGAAGTTCAGCGTCAGTTGAGGCAGGAAATAGTGGGTGTGTTGCAATCCTATGATCATCACTTTAGCTATGAAGCCATGGGGCACATGCACTATTTGGATCAGGTGGTGACAGGTGGTGGCACTTATATATACAATATCAATTATGAGAATCATAGATTTCCTTTTTAGAAACTCTGCGAAAACACCCTGCAACAGAGCTGCTTATTCGGCGCACTCTCCGCGAGTATCACGTACCGAACAGCACGCACGTCATCGAGCGTGGCACCTGTGTATTGGTGCCGGTATATGCCATACAACATGATCCAGACATTTATTCAGACCCACAGCAATTCGACCCGACACGCTTCGATGCAGCCGCTGTGATGGCACGTCACGCATGCGCATACTTGTCGTTCGACGATGGACCACGCAACTGTTTGGGTAAGCGCTTGAGTAAAATGCTCATTAAAGTGGCGCTCGTAAGGCTGCTGCGCTTTCACACAATAGCGCGTTGCGAGGATACAAAGCAGCCGTTCGATGATTACAGCAGAGATGTGGAGAGCATAAGTGATATTCTGGTGAAGTTACAAAGCATATGAGAAGCGCTTGCGGATTCGTGTACATACATATATTTAACTAACAAAATTAAAAGGGGTAGTAATAAACAAATTTAATACAATTTAAGTATAGTCGTTGATTCAATAACTTTTTTTAATTTATGCGCATTTCTGCATATAATCGTGTAATTATCGAAATATAAAAACAAAATAATTTTAAGAATAAATGACATAATTGTGTTAACCGTATATATGTGAGAGTAAAAATTAGCGTAAAAGCTTTTAAGAATATAAAATTTCATCTCTGAGTGAGCGCACACATTGCTCTCTTCATGTGCTCTCTTTGTATCTGTTTTTAGCTCTTTATCTTGTTCTTCTCTAAAATTTCTCTTTAAAGTTTGATGTAAACGTTTGCAGAGCTCACTGAAGCTTAAAAGCTTAGCTTGAAGTTTACAACAAATTTTAATATTGTTAATGATTTAAAGTAATAATGAAATTCCAATTTCAATTAATGACTGAACCACAAGATTAATTGGTATATATTTAGATTGCTTTAACTCTTAGTAAGTGTTCTGTAAAATTTAAGTTTTCTTATATTTCTTATCGTAGCCAGCTATACTTTCTTGGGTCGTTTTTGAATTTCAATCGCTCGCAAACCAAAACCGTAATCGTACTTGTGTGAGCTAACAAATAAGTTTAATGCTAATCGATCAAAACCACTAGAATAAATCCATTCTTAGCTATGTACCATCTTAGCTATGTATCACGAACTTTTTCAATTTATTAAATGTCAGTTTTTGCTCAGTTGTCTCGCGAGTAAGCGCGTAAATTTAATGGCATAGAATATCGAAAGATTGCCTGCAACCAGACTGCATCCAGAAACCCATATTTTAACAAAGAAAAGTATTTTCTACGTAACGAATTTATTCACACGCTCCCAATTGTATTGAACTATTGATGTGTAAGGCGGATTTCCATGCTACATGCTGCATACCGCATGCTAACGAAAACAAGCGATACTTGTCAATTCGCTATTCGTAGCATATGCAAGGTCGCGCGGTAAAAAAGGCTACACGACGCCACAAACAAATGCGAGCCGCATTGTGTCGTCAATGAAAGCAACAACTTGGAGCGCGGGTGTGTGCTGACAAATGGCGCTGGCTGGCTCAAATTCGTATTGATTAATGAGGACGATGATTTTAAAGTCACGACAAGCGCACAGCGACGCCACAGGTAAGCTTTGCATACAATAAACAATATCGTTGACAGACGAGCTACGCTTGTCGCTGAAAGGAAATAGCGCAAATATACCATACAACTTGTTTACCGAAATGGGGAAAGCAATTGAAGCTGAAATTCAGAAAATTGGAACATCGCATTGCCAAGTGCAAATAACTATGCTTGTATTAATTTGAATGCTGGATGGGATGAGGTGGAGGTAAAAGTGAAAAAACGTGAAACGCAGTTTAGTGAAATCAACATTTTTCGGTATAACATGAATTATTTTTGTGTCAAAAAGTTAGTTTGCAGCGCAATGTGTAGCAATTATTATTAATTGCATTTAATTTCAATTTTATGTTTGAAATCACAAGAGGAAACTAGCGCTATTTATTTGTTTATGCGATATTTAAACGATTTTAGTCGAAGCGAAAAATAGTAATTTTTATTAAGGGGCATACCTAGTGTGTCAGCTTAAAAACCGAGATTTCTAGAAATAAAAAAAAAATACTGTATATTTTTATTAGCATTTGTAGGGTATATTTAATATTATATTTTGTAGAAATTTTTATATTTTTCGAGTTACAGCAAACGCCGACGGCGCTATAAAAAAAGGTGCTGCAGTGATACCGGCCTTCTACGTAGATGGAAGCTAAAACCCATTCTCTGCAAGAAGCTATTGTTCTTACAATGGACTACGTTCGAAAAAAAAGATAAAAAATTAGCAAAATGGTGGCAGTTGAAAAAGTTGAATTTTACTTACAATTTTTTACGATAAAGCTATTTTAACTGAGTGGTTACATTTCAGAAGGCTGCAACTTAAAATTTTTTTTGAGATATCGATTGAAATTTCAGGTTGTTAGTTATATTGTAATAATTTTTTTTTTCTCAATTTCACACTACTTAGGTATGCCCCTTAAATGCAAATATTTGTGGGAAATAGATTAATTTTCCAAAACACACACACGCGCAAACAATAACAAACAGCGCAAATATTTATTGAATTTATAATGAATAGTTCAGCGACTTTAAACGCTCCACACTCGCTAAATATGTTATGTAAATAAATGTTTGTTATATAAACCGCAGCCAGTGGTCGTTCGAGCGCCGGCTATTTATTCAAAATCTCATATTTATTTGATTGGCAAGCAGCCGCCTGGAAACTAAATATGCATATTGCGCACTCAATCAGCAATATCGCATCTATGATAAAATGGCAGAATATTGAATTATTTTGCGACACTTTGTTTAGATGCCAAGCGAAATCGTACTATCAGCAAAGTAAACTAAAATACATAAATGAAGTCATTGGGTTATAATATGTTAATATATATTTTTTTTTTGTTTTGATAATTCGACTTTTGGCAGGCAATGGCAAACTTGCGGAGCGCATTTCTGCTATGAACTCATTTCTCCTAGAACCCATTTGCAAATCTGTTAACCAAAATATACTTAAAATTACCTTATGCACTAACACGCATTTATTAAAACTTTTCGTACACGGAACAACGTAGACCCAACCACACATCAGGAAACGCAATCCATACTTCTTGTTGCCTACTTGACAAGTTCGTTATCCCCCTTTAGGTCACTGGTTTTCAGCTGCAATCAACGTGTTGTCTACCTCGGATTCTACCTTTGCCTATACCAAACATATGCACACACACATGCACAACGCCTGAATGTAGCGATTTAGTGAGCACTCCAGCGAAATTGCATGTATTTTATGCAACAACATGAATTTTCCCTAGTGTTGTTGTTATTACTGGCAAACAGCATCTTTTAACCAAGCACTTTGTCTATGTATCTATGGCTAGGTCATTTTTTGGTGTTTTTTTTATGCTTTTATTTTTATTTTCTGTAAGGTCACCACGCCGACGGTTCGCATATAGTATAAACGCCAAGAGTTGGCACAAAGTTGGCGAACAGCTGGTGGTATTGCCAAAACAACTTTGTTTTTAACTGACGCAGACCACATAAACACGCTGGCGTACGTGTGTAAATTAAATTTTGCCTCTGGCTTTGGTCGCTTTTCGCCCAACTTTATTTATTTGTGTTTGTATTTAATTTTGTGCGTTGTTTACCCTTGCAGATTTACACACACAGTCTGTCCGTGTGAGAGCGTTTACGCTTATTTGCCGCCGCTAGCTGTTGCCCATATAAATGTGGAACTCATTAAAGAGCAACGAGGCGTATGAGTTACGTGTAAGTGAAAGCAAATGTAATTATTTTTGTTTAAATCAAAACGCAAATAAGAAGTCTGCAGTTTTAGAGTAAAGTGTTGCTCTGGCATTTCAGTCAGTTTGGAGATGTCAGGAAAGCGCGCAATTTTACTAACCTAATTTTTTTTTAATTTTTGTAGTTTGTAGTTAATGGCTTTACAATTTGTACATAAAATTACTACTATCAAATACTTTTTTGTTTTTGTCAAAAAAGTCAGTTTCGTCATGTATACAGTATTCAAAATATATTTGATATACTGTTCATTTTTTTTATTTTTATTTATTTTATTTTTATTTTTTTTTTTTGAAATTGGCAGATATTTTAAATTCAATTTTTAATCATGAATTACATACACTATAATTCTATTTTTCGTCCTTCTTCTGTTTTTTCTGTCTACATTAATATTACAGTATAGATTTCAAGCTAAAACGTCACGTACTTCTCCACAACTATAATTGCTATATCGTGTTTACTTTGCTAAATTTCTTATTCATTCGTTCGTGCCATCTACAACTCTTCACATGAGCCACACTTCTGCATCTTCAATTTAAATTTAAATTTTTCAATTCGAATTGCTTTTTTGATTAATAGTTTTTTGCTCCATGAGCGCTTTTTGTCACTTTTCGCAGCAGTTGTTGCTGTACAGTTCGCACAACATTTATTTCTTTTTTTCCTTTTTTTTCAAATTTTCCAGACTTATTTTTATATCGACAATACGTGACCAAATTGAAGGTAGTAGAGAAAAATTTAAGTTGTCTGAAGCTAATGAGCTGAAGCTCCGAGCTGTCCTCGTACCAGATGGGTTTCCGGTAGGTTTGAAATAATTTTTTTATGGTCACAATTTAGATTTCTAGAATTCGGTAGATCCTTTCCGTAAACTTAGTGCTTTTTATTTGTACTAGGTTTTAGTGTTTCGAGCAGTAAACAGTATTGATTTTGATTATTATTTGACTGCAATTTAAAAACGTTTTTCTTCATTTCTAAACCACTACAACTTCAAATAATATTTACGCACACAATTATACGTATATAAGTAGAAATATTTCATAAATTTCACTTTAGTATGAGCTTACACACACGCCAAACGAAATCAAAACAATTTCACATTTCAAAGCAATTTTACACCCTGACGCGCCAAATTCGCACACTCTTGCCATTGGCAGCAAAAAGTTGGCACACAGGCACAAAGGTTTAGCATATAAAAATACCTGAAAACTGCTTTAAATCTGGGGAGCAGCCAAAAAGGTTGCTGTGGCTTTAGAAAGAAGCCAAATTAATAAACGCAACAATATTTTATGCTTACTTTTAAAACAACACAACTCGGTAATATGAAATGTTTGGGAATGCGAATTATATATGCGATTTTGTTTTTCAAAAAGCTCAGCAAAGAACTGGTCTTCAAGTGAATTTTGAAAAGAAAAAGTTTTTTAATACAGCCTTAATAAACCCATTTGTCAATATAGCCGTTTTGAAGTTTTTTACGAAAGAGTAGCATATTCAGAAGAACAGTGAATGGGACTTAAATGTCAAACTAATTTTTTGTAAGTAATTCGAGAAATTTGCCAATCATTAAACTTTTCAAAACTTACAAAACATTCCCCTGTCGTCGAAAAAACTCTCTCATATAGAAACAAAAGCAAGAATATTCAAGGTGAAAGCGAAACACTAATAAGTCAACCACTTTGCTAAGGTCATTTCACTTTCGATGAGCAATTTACAATTTGATTCGCTCAGAGCTTGACATACTACTGCCGACATTGTCTACTGAGAGATTATGTCACGGTAATTTAGTTCAATAATATTGCATTGAACAAGAAGGGGTAAGCAACTTTACACGTAAGGGTGCATTTATTGCTTAAATCCTTTGATCTCCCCGTGCCATTACCTGCATTTCATATTGCCACTCGCAGGGCAATGTTTTGTGCAAGGATGGTCATAAAAGAGATGACAAAAGTACTCACAATATCTGGCACTATGTGTACTTAATATACGAAATACTGTTTTCTTATCTTCTCTAAGTCAAGCGGGATACTTCCCAATGCAATGTGCGCTAAGCTCCACTGTGTGCCTAGCCTAAGCTATAGAAAGAGCGGGAGAGCGGTTATGAAATTTTCAATCAATCATAAAGTCAAAGGGTTGCATTTTATATAAATATTTGAAGCAGATGCAGAAGTGATGCAAAAACAAATTAAATTATTCATTAAACTTTTCAATACTATCACCGTAAGTGATAAGAACACTTGTTGATTATATTTGAAAAAATAAACTATTAAAACCCGACACACAGTATAAATAACGTTCGTGTATCTGAAAATATCTTCAGTTCTATTTAAGCTAGTGTTTACTAAAAAGGTTTCTTCACAAATATGAGCTTGTTCTTGAACTTGTTGGTGTTGAGCATTCTACTGCTTTTAGCCTTTCTTAAGTACAGCCACAGCTACTGGAAACGCCGTGGTGTACCACATGAAGCACCTCCTTTCCCATGGGGTGATTTTAAAGAATGGCGCAACACAAAATGTTTCTATGAAATATTAACACCAATCTATAAGAAATTTAAGGGCATTGCACCATTCGCCGGCATGTTCATGGCCTTAAGGCCAGTCGCACTGATTTTGGACCCAGACCTGGTGAAGAGTGTACTCATCAAAGACTTTAATCATTTTCGTGAACGCGGTATATTCTCCAACGTCAGGGATGATCCGCTGACGGGTCATCTCTTCGCCTTAGAAGGAACCAAATGGCGCGAATTACGTCACAAACTCTCTCCGGCGTTTAGTTCTGGTAAAATGAAACACATGTATTCCATCGTGGTCAAAGTGGCGGAGGAATTTAAAAAAGTTTTGGATGAAAAGCAAGCGACTGCTGCTGGTGGTGTCATTGAGATCACTGACTTGCTCTCGTGCTTCACTGCGGATATCATCGGCGTATGCGCCTTTGGCATCGAGTGCAATAGTTTGCGCAATCCGCAAGCGGAATTCGTTGTGATGGGAAGGAAAGCGAATACCGAACGGCGACACGGCTTGCTGCTGGACCAATTTATTGAAGCAGCGCCGAAATTGGCACGTACACTGCGTATGCGACAAATCCCACAAGATGTGAATGATTTCTATATGGGAATCGTGCGTGAAACCATCGAGTATCGGGAAAGGACTGGTGTAAAACACAACGACCTAATGGATGTCTTACTGGAATTAAAAACCAAGGACGGAAAGGATGGCGGACTCACAGTTAATGAAATTGTTGCACAAGCTTTCGTCTTCCTTGTAGCTGGTTTTGAGACCTCTTCATCCACAATGGGATATGCACTTTATGAGCTGGCCAAATGTCAGGATATACAGAATCGATTACGTGCTGAGATAAATGAGGTGCTAAAGCGACACAACAACCAGTTCACCTACGAGTCAATGCAAGATATGCGCTACATGGAGCAAGTAATATCAGGTGTGTGATTGTGTCGATCATATTATTCATATATTTATATCTCTAATTTATGCTTTGATTTTTAGAGACATTGCGAAGATATCCAATTTTACCCCATTTGGTGCGTGAAGCTGATATAAATTATAAAACCACAGATACGCGCTTCACCATTGAAAAGGGCACAATGGTTATTATACCTGTCTATGAGCTACACCATGACCCCGAATACTTCCCAAATCCAGAAAAGTTCGATCCTGAACGATTTTCAGAAGCAGAAATCAAAACACGCCCCACCTGCACTTATGTGCCCTTTGGCGATGGTCCACGCAATTGCATCGGCTTCCGTTTTGGCAAAATGCAGGTGTGCATTGGACTCACATATTTGGTGAGACATTTCAAGTTTTCAGTTTGTGATGAAACGGAAGAGCACTTGAACTTTCTGGTGGAGAAAATGATACTACAACCGGTCAATGGCATAAAACTGCGAGTGGAGCGCTTGTAAAAGTGGACTGCAGGTCTAAATGGAATGGCTCTGCTGGGCGGTCTGGAAGGAACATGTTGTAGTACTAACTGTTTTTTTTTAAATAAAATGTTATAATAATAAAATTTAATTCCCTTACCTTAATTTTTTAGGTCAAGATATAGATATTCCAAAATTTCCATTTTTGTTTAAATACAAATTTCATAAATCACTATATTTATTAATTATAATCTATTGATTTTACTCTACAATAAACAAGAAAAATCGTTAACTTCGGTTGCACCGAAGCTATAATACCCCTCACAAATGCAAAAGTTCCTTACAAGTACTTGATTCCGATCTAATTAGGTGAAGATACCTCATCAAATCAAAAAGTCTCCCTGTTCAGGGTATAAAAATAACAGTGAATTGAGAGTTTACTTTTCTTCACAACAACCACATCTTAAATGCATTATCTCTTGCTCTCAAAAGAAGAGAGTCTTTTCCCACATGCATAATGCGTAAAGGATAAGAAAAAACCAAGATCTCTATTGTACGGGCCACTGGTCGGTAGTATCTATGATGAAATAAGTTGAATTTAATCCCAACAAATTATTAATATGTTAGGTCATATTATTAAGGTTTTCTTCAACAAAAGATTCATCTACTGGAAAGCTCCCGAATGTCTAAAACAGGCAACACTTTTCAGTTGTCTATTCGTCTTAGAAGGTATAGATAAAGGCTACTGATTACCTAAGCGCACGGCAGCATCGGTTTCATTTGCTATAACGACTCTTCAACTTGTTGTCTGTCTAAAATACTAAATCCAATCACAAGTTGTATAGCTTACAACTTAAGACTTATAACACAGTCTTTAAATACAACAAAACGCAATTCTGAGCTTACTCTTGTCAACAATTTACTAAGAACCCACTCTTTAAAAATAATAGGAATCAAACTAAAATAGTTAACACTATCTATAATTATATATAAAAACACCTCTTGTCTCACCCTATGCTCCTGTGTCGTCAATTACTGAGAGCAAGTTTTAAAGAGAAACTTGTATTTCACCACTTGACGAAAGCTTACCCAAATAACTGGCGCTTTCAAATAGCGCAGCCGAATTTAAATATAAAACATGCGCCCATTAACATATAAAAAGTATTTAGTCCATATGTTAGGATTTCTATAAATAAATGATTTTGGACAGCATTTATTTGAGAGAGTGCAACGTAATAATTAAACCAATACTGATTTTTATTTTGATATAATTTTAGTACGGAGAAGATTAAGTTCCAAAGTAAAAAGTTATACACGTTCCTCCCCATTTTAAAAAAACTAAAGACTAGTTACTTCATTTCTTAAGTATACCATAACAAATGGCTTTCAACAGATAAGATCGCAAGGGATAGCGCATGTGCGAGCTTTTATTATTTTTCTTCTTTTCGATTTATACATATATATATTTCTATTTGTTTATGTTAGATTAGCATTTAGTTGCCGGTTAAAAAATATTTAATGCACGCCGTTTCAGCATTTCTTGTCAGTGAAATGAGTATGCAGCACTAGTTTGAACATTCATTTTATTGTATTTAAATACTTCGTGGATAGAAATGTTCTAAACAAAATTCATAACGAATCAAAAGCGAGTTCGTAATACAAGAAAGTAACAAATAAGCTCATTATGTTTGTGCTGTTGGTGCTCCTCATCGCAGCATTCGGACTGATTGTGAACGCGCTACAACGCCACTACACCTATTGGCAACGTCGTGGGGTACCGCAAGTGTGCCCCCGTTATGTGGTGGGCAATATAGAGCGCGCTGCCGGCGGTCAAGTACAGCTACGACACTTTAACCAGCGGCTTTATGAAGCTTTTAAGAAACGACGTCCCTTTGTCGGCATGTATATCTTCTTCACACGCGCCGCGCTCATACTCGACTTGGATGTGATTAAGGACATATGTATAAGTAAGTTTTCCAATTTCCAAGATCGTGGCGTTTTCTCGAATCCGCGCGATGATCCATTGACTGGCCACCTATTTCGTCTCGAAGGAGCTCAGTGGCGCGCCATGCGCAATAAACTCACACCCGTATTCTCTTCGGGCAATATGAAATTCATGTTCCCCACCGTGCTGAAAGTGGGTAATGAATTGATACGCGCTTGCCACAAGACAATCGGGGACGGCCCCCAGCAGCGCGAGATCGAGTTAAAGGAGCTTTGCGCGCGTTACACTACTGATGTTATTGGCACTTGTGCCTTCGGCATTGAGTGTAATAGTTTGCTTGATCCCCAAGCTGAGTTTAGGCGTCGTGGTCATGCCGTGTTTACCGAACCACGTCACTCGCAACTGGTGCAGACATTCATGTTGATGAATCCTGATTTGGCACGTCGTATGCGTCTGAAATTCTTTCCGGATTACATCATACAATTCTACATAGATGTGGTGCGTCAGACAGTAGAGTTACGTCAGCGTGAGCATATCAAACGCAATGATTTCATGGACTTGTTAATCGGCTTAAAGGCGGAGGATGAGCGCTTGGCCTTGAACAGCGATGGTATTGATCTCTCGCACGGTTTAACACTAAACCAAATGGTATCGCAGGCATTTGTGTTCTTTGTGGCGGGGTTTGATACATCTTCAACAACAATGTCGTTATGCCTCTATGAACTCGCATTGAACGAGACAATACAGAAGAAGGTGCGTGCGGAAATTGAGCGCGTTCTAAACGCGCACAACTACCAACTTACTTACGAGGCGTTGAACGAAATGCAGTACCTCGACCAAGCGGTAGACGGTGAGTAGTGTTATAAACTGCGCACAATATTATATGAACTATCTGCCAATTCAAGAAACACTACGCAAATACCCTGTAGTGCCGTATCTCGTGCGCAAAGCCAAAGAAGACTACTTAGTGCCCAATACTAATGAGGTTATTGAGAAAGGATGTCTGGTGGTATTACCCGCGCACGCCATTCAACATGACGACGAACTTTACCCCGAGCCAGATAAATTCAATCCGGACCGTTTCAAATCAGAGCTATGTCGTGAACGCCACGCTGCCGCTTATATGCCTTTTGGAATAGGTCCACGTGTGTGTATTGGACTGCGTTTCGGCAAAATGCAAGCTAAAATAGGTCTCATTAATTTACTAAAACACTTTAAATTTAGTCAATCTGCACACACACAAGTGCCACTACAATTCATCGAACGCATATTCCAAATCACCCCAGCCAGTGGCATACACTTGAAAGTAGAGCATGTGGACGGGGTGAGCCAATGAGTAGGATAATTTAAGAAATAAATTTAGTATTGTACTGAGACATGTCTTTAACAAGAAATGGCGTAGTTCCTCATTCCCTTGTGTATTTTTGACCAAGTTTTTGACATTTTCTTTCGTGTCGGAATCAGGAAAGCGTTAGGTATCTTCGAGTTTTACTAACGGTAAATAACAGATCTCGTTAAAACTAGTATAATTCCGGATTTCAGATAAGTGGTTTTATATAAAAAGAACATCGTTCAAAAGTACAAAAACTAACGGAAATTTTAAATCGTTTGAGAACTCTCAACATCTTTTGAACAAATGAAACACCCAATATAAATCTCAGCAAGAGAATAATCGACTAAAATAAGCTATCAAACTGCACACATTTGATATTTCAGCGCATATTTTGTTCAGTAGAAAACTGAAAAATATTAAAAACTATCGTTATATCCAAAAACCAAATTAGTTTTTGTACTGTGGGAAAAAAAATCGGTTTGATAAGAAAAGCCGCAAAAATTTTGTTGCCGAGAAAGCTTGGGAATTTTTGCGCTACGATAAGCTTTGCAATATAATGAACGCGCTCACAAAGTGGAAACAAGAGAATTTTTATTACACAAAATGCGTTTGCAAAATCAGTTGCAAGCGGTCTGTCGCTCAGTGCAGTTGAAACCATAACCAAATATTTTTATAAACGAAAGCGACATATAGAGAACATAAATAATAAATTTTGGAAAGAAAAATATAAATAAAAAACAAAATGGGCATTGCAGTGCTCTGTGCGCTTGTTGTAGTAGTTGTGGGCACCATTTATTGAAAGCTACGGCACCACTACAGCTATTGGGCGCGCCGCGGCATACCACATGAGACACCACAATATTTCCTCGGCAATATGAGTGGCATCGGCACCAAGTATCATTGGAAAGACATTAATATTCGCTTCTATAATCGCTTCAGAGGTCTAACGCCCATATTTGGCGCCTACACTTTCTTGAAGCGCGTCGCTTACATTATAGATCTGGATCTTATCAAACAAATTTTAGTGAAGGATTTCAACTACTTCACGGATCGTGGACTTTTTCACAATGTACGCGATGATCCGCTCACCGGCAACTTACTGTTCTTGGACGGCGAGCAGTGGCGTGTACTGCGTCATAAGTTATCGCCCGCTTTCACCACCGGCAAAATACGTTTCATGTTCCCCACCATGGTGACGGTGGGTGAACGTATTGTTGGTGCTTGTCAGCGCATTATGAATATAGGCGGCACCGTGGAAATGAAGGAGCTCTGTGCGCGCTACACCACCGATGTTATTGGTGAGGTTGCATTCGGTATTGAGTGCAACAGCTTGAAAGACCCGCAAGCGATATTCCGGCGTATGGGTAGACATATTATCGACAAGCCACGTCACTCGCTACTTGTGCAGGCGTTCATGTTTACAGATCCACAGCGCGCACGACAGTTGCGTTTAAAGAATTTTCCCGACGATGTCACCGAGTTCTTCATGGGTGTTGTGCGTGAAACCGTGGCGTACAGAGAAAAGAATGGCGTGAGTCGTAACGATTTCATGGATATGATGTTGGAAATGAAGGCGCAACGCGATCGCCTCAAAGAAGTTGACATTAAAGAAGATGATTTGACGAATGGCTTGAATATCGAGCAGGTCGCAGCGCAAGCGCTGGTCTTCTATTTGGCTGGCTTTGAAACCTCATCGACCGTAATGTCTTTCTGTTTGTATGAGTTGGCCTTGAATCAAGATGTGCAAGAGAAATTGCGTGAAGAAATATTTAGAGTGTTGCAGAAATCAGAGGGTCAATTAACATACGAGACTATCAAAGAAATGAACTATTTGAAAAAAGTGATATCAGGTGGGTGAAGCGTTGCTTAGAAAAATATTTTCGAATATTTTTTGTTAACTTTATTTTTGTTTCATATCTTTGTTTAGAAACTTTACGCAAGCACCCAGTCATACCGCATCTAACGCGCTTGGCCGTCGCCGACTACAGCGTACCCAAGACCAATTGGATGCTGGAGCGCGGCATGCGCATCTTCATACCCGTCGATGCTATTCACCATGACCCCGAAATCTATCCCGATCCCGACAAATTCGACCCTGAACGCTTTGCACCGGAAGCCATTGCGCAGCGCCACCCTTTCGCCTACTTGCCTTTCGGCGACGGCCCACGAAATTGCATTGGCATGCGTTTCGGCGAATTGCAGACCTCCATTGGCGTCATACAATTGCTGCGCCACTATCGCTTCAAGCCATCCTCGCGAACACTCAACCCGATGGTTTACTTAAAAAAGAATGTTCTCATTGCCGCTGACGGTGGCATACATTTGACCGTGGAGAATCTGGCGAAAACCATCTAAAAGCGCTGTTATGTTCTAAACAGCGCGCAAAATATAAAATTGGTGTGGAAAATTAGTCAATGAAAATAATGCCTGCTTATTGCTGTAATCGCGTTATATAAACATATGCGCATGTGCACAATTATTAGCATATGTTATGTCTCCTTGTATAGAAATACATATTTTAATCTGTTCACCTTCCTATTAAATTTCAAAGCATGTAATTATCTGTTGTCTAAGCATACACAATAAAGGCGCTTTGTAATTGACTGTTTTGTTTCTTTGTGTGTGTGTGTGAGTGTGTATTATAACCGATATTCAATGCGTAAATTATAACCATTTATTAACAATAAAAACACAACACTTCCAATTAATGGGCTTAATAATAACACACAAGTGAATTCGCAAACATGAAGCTTACATGAATTACATATGTACACATACACATGTTCAAGTTCAAGTACCATAAATGTATGTAGAAGTAGGTGTGTTACACTTGTTGGCATTCAAACATTCTTATCTCGATCTGTGCGCTCTTTTCAAACAAAGCGCTCTATTCGACGCATATATTATATATTTGCATGTATGTATATATGTATTAAGACAATAGCGCCGAGTGAAAATATAAATAATGTTTGTTTGTCTAAAATAAAGCTTTATTCTGTTTGGTAGTAGAGAAGAGTGTAACTGCAGATGTACAAGAATATTCGTGAATTAAAAGCTCCAAGTAAAAATATTCATAAATTGAATTCTTAATTGTTTTCATATTTAATTTATGTATTTCTCGCATTTTTCTTGACGAAAAACCCATAATAATTGTTACATCCCTATACTGCCCTATTGATCGGCATATATGAATATATAAATCATAAAAGCTTTATACGAAGCATAAAGAGCAGATGCATATTTTTAAAATTTTATTTTCAAATGAAATGAAGAAAAACAACGGTATATAATATAGGCAAACTTCAACCCCTTGAGTATATTTGAAAATCATGACCAAAAATCTGGACTAAGGCAAAACTTTGAAGTAAACTTTTGTGGTATCCCGACAAAAGCGATGTAACGAGTGCACTTTTATACCTATAATATGAGTGTAAGGGGATAACTTTTATGGTAGATAAATGCTTTTCTTGTTTAGAAATAATAGTATCTTAATCCAAATTTATGCCATAATAGAGACAAGCTTTCGCAAGCTCAAAAGCTAAGTGGAGAGCTATCAAATAAAATTTCGAACACAATATTATCTAAAAACACCGAAAAACCTTAAGCTAACCCTTCAACTCGAACGGCTTTGCAAGAAAATAAACAAATATAGCACACGAATTTACACCCGAAAAGCTCAAAGCTTTAGATGTACACGCTACACATAATATTAAAAAGAAGCGCTCGCCCAAGATGACTTTACAAAATTTAAAATTTAGTAAACCAACAATCTTCGTCGCGTAAAGACACGAAATAAGCATCAAACAGAAGTCGGTGTCGTCTACAAATAATTGGTATTAGGTTAAGATGAGTACCATTATTGCTTTATTGGCGATAGCGATCACGCTAGTGATTTACTTGTTGAAATATCAGCAATCATATTGGCAAAGGCGTGGCGTGCCGCACGATTCACCCAGCTTTCCGTTGGGCACACTCAAGGAGTGGCGTCGTACGAAGTCTTTGTGTGAAATATTCGCACCCATCTATAAGCAATTTAAGGGCACTGGTCCCTTCTGTGGTATCTACTTTCTTATAAATCCAGCCGTTTTCGTGCTGGACCTGGAACTAGTCAAGAAGATACTCATTAAGGACTTTCACAATTTTCAAGATCGCGGCGTTTTTCACAATGAAATTGAAGATCCACTTACTGGCAATCTCTTCCAGTTGGATGGACCACAGTGGAATGTATTGCGTAAAAAGCTTTCACCCACATTCACCTCTGGGAAAATGAAATTAATGTTTCCCACTGTCGTCAAAGAAGCGCATGAATTAATACAAGTAATGAGTGAGAAAGCTAAAAACGCGCCTGATAGAATTTTGGAGATCACCGAACTGCAAGCGCGCTACACCGCCGATGTAATTGGTTCCTGCGCTTTTGGTCTTGAGTGCAACAGTTTGCGCAATCCCGATGCTGAGTTTGTGAAAATGGGTCGTAAGGCACTGACCGAGCGCAAACATTGCATTCTAGTCAACACATTCATAGAGAGTTATCCACGTTTGGCACGTAAATTGAATTTGCGCTCGTTTACAAAAGAAGTGCAAGACTTCTATATAGGCATAGTCCGTAATACCGTCGAATATAGAGAGAAGAATCAGGTGAAACGTAATGATTTCATGAATATTTTGTTGGAAATGAAAAACAAGCAAGGCGAAAAAGATGGACTGTCAATGGAGGAGATTGCAGCGCAAGCTTTTGTATTTCTTATAGCAGGCTTCGAGACCTCATCAACAACTATGGGCTTCGCATTATATGAATTAGCCAGAAATCAAGAAATACAGAATAAGTTGCGACAGCAGATCAACGCGACATTAAAAGAGCACAACAACGTGTGCACCTATGAGGCCGTACAGCAGATGAAATATCTGGAACAGGTTTTATCGGGTAAAAATTAAGTTAATTATTTATTATCAAAACCTTTCTTTTACTAATTAATAAAACTTTCTTTGTACTTTAGAAACGCTACGCAAGTACCCCGTATTGCCGTTTGTGGAACGAGTTTCAAAGGCAGAGTATGACACCGGCGATCCACGCTATCTCATCGAGAAGAACACGCGTGTATTCATACTTAGCTATGGCATACATCACGATCCCGAGTACTATCCCGATCCAGAGAAATTCGATCCGGAACGCTTTACTGAGGAAGAAATTCAGAAACGACCCGCCTGCACGTGGATACCATTCGGCGATGGACCACGCAATTGCATCGGCTTGCGTTTCGGCAAAATGCAGGCGTTAATTGGACTCGCATTACTGATCAAGCATTTTAAATTCTCCTTCGCACCACAGACACCCGCTGAATTGTCTTATAACAAAGAGACTGTGCTCCTATCGGCGAAGCATGGCATACATTTGAGGGTGGAGGAGTTTAAAACATGATTGAATGAGTGTGCTAAGCAGTCGTGGATCATCGAGCGCGTTGTACTTCAACATACATAGATATACCTACATAATGAATAATCAATGTTATAATAAAAATTGTAAATAAATTATACAATATATTCTGAATTTGCGTGTTTTGCGTGTTCGAAAAATTATAATGCAGATAATTTGTCAAAAAATATTTCGTTAAAATAACTGCTAATTACTAAGAGTACTCAACATGCAAACTAGCAATTCTCTTTGACTATATATCTATAAGTCACACGTACTTACTTCGATTCATATTAAAGGGAGTTTGTCATAACACATTTTTATTTTAAATTAAAATTTGGTGTAGCACCCGTTTTCCCACGGAATCATTAGCAACCGGTGTTTATTAAGCATATTTGTTTATGGCGCAATACAATAAGAAAACCAGTTGATAATAATTAAATAATTGCACTGACTTTGCGTTTTTAGTGCCATGTCATTGAGTATCTCAGATAATAAACAAAACTCAAACAGCCTCCCAATTATTATATTATATTAAGAATTGGCATATATGTTATATGTATGTGTGTTAGACATATTATTATTGTTAGCGCGCTACAACAAAATATTGAAATGTATTGTCGTTTGAGCGAAACGAGTTCTCCTAAATTTATACCGGCAATTCAAGTAAATGTTTAGTCTCTCAAAAATCAAATAAATTTAAATTTTCAGTCAAGGCAATATTTGGTTCGCCACCCTATAAAATCAACTGAGTATGTACTGTATAGTCTGTGGTTTGGCTACAACAGATGAGGTTAGGTAAGGATATGGCGCTACAAATCAATCCAATAACATATGATGTCAAAAACTACTAAAGTTATATCTAAATTTGCATCCGTTAGCTGCCTATGCTATGTTTGATTCTATTCCAGCTATTTCGGTGAAAATGATAATGGTATGAGGTTTCAAGTGAAGTTTTTCAAGTTAAAACCTCAAACTTCTAAGTTCTTTTTTTTTCTAATTTTAAAATAAGTAAATTTGTAAATTTTCCTGATTATTAGCTAGTTAAAGGCACCATCTGGAATGCCAAAATTTGTAAGCTTTCATTGAACTTAAACACCTTTTACACATAACGAATAAAACACTGGCATTAGCTATTCAGGCTCCATCAGTTTAAAACCGGTTAGAGATTGCTTTGCGGCACCTACGGTCTAAATTACAAAAAAATATCGCATGCTACTTTTCGTTTACACCTTGCTTAAGTCTTGAGTAACCGAATAATGCATGCGATATTTCATTTCATTAATTCTTCTCGCACTAAAACTCTCAACCAAATGAGCGCAAGCGTCAGTATATAGACACCTTGCGTGCAGCTGCACTTAAAATCACTTCAAGCAACTCCACGCTTTGCTTCTTCTATTTTCCAGGTTGTCCAAAGTTTCGCTGTGTGTGCCTCTGTGTGTAGGACTTTTTCTGCCGGCACGTTTATGTCACAAAAATGTTATATTTATAATTTTGTAATTCTTTGCTTATTTTGGCTTCTTCGGCGCGCACTTTAACCGCATTAATGGTATTTAAGGCTGGATGCAATTTATTAACTGTTTTCACTGTAATCGTTACAAGAACCGGCGATGGACGTATCTGTGTTTTTCGGTCTGCTCATTGGCATCGCATTGCTAATTGCGGTTTGGTTACTGCGTCAGCAGAGCTACTGGCATCGACGCGGCATACCGCACAGCAAGCCCGTACTCCTGATGTCTATGGCAACTAAGCACGTAGTGCAGATTTTACGCGAGTCATATCAGCAGTTTAAGGGCACAGGGCCCTTTTTTGGATTCTTCTTGCTTGCGACCAATACCGCACTTATAGTGGACTTGGAGTTGGTTAAGAAAATACTGGTCAAAGATTTCAACTACTTCTCGGATCGTGGTCTGTACACTAATGCACACGATGATCCGCTTTCGGGTAATATGTTCTTCGCCGAAGTTGAGGGTTGGAAACGTTTACGTGCAAAACTAACGCCGACATTTACATCGGGCAAAATGAAGAACATGTTTCACATGGTTACTGCGGTCGGCGAGCGTTTTGCGGCAACAGTTCACACCCGAATAGGTGGTGGTGATGCTGCAGGTCACGGCAAAGTGCTGCATGTATCAGATCTTAGTGGGCGATACACCACCGATACGATCGGCACTTGCGCCTTCGGACTCGAGTGCAACAGTCTAAATGCGGAAACACCAGATTTCGTATTGGTAACGAATAGTTTCATCAATCGTCGACGTCATAATAAACTTGTCGAAGGTTTAATCTTCAGTTTTCCGCGTATTTCACGCTTTCTGGGTATGCGCATTACATCACAACATGTACAAGACTTTTATATAAAGCTCGTGGAAGATACGCTTGAGTACCGCAAAGACACAAAATTGCGACGTAACGATTTTCTAGACCTACTAATCGATATGATGGAACGTGACGATGCGAATGGCAAACGTATTGAGGGTCTGAGTGTGAACGAAATAGCCGCACAGACTTTTTTGATGTTTCTGGCGGGATTTGAGACCTCAGCAACAACAATGAGCTTTGCACTTTATTTACTCGCACAGCATTCCGACATCCAGGAACGATTGAGGCGAGACATTAACGAGGTGCTCGCTGCCAACAATGAACTTCTCACATATCAGTGTATCAAGCAGATGAGCTACCTGCAACAAGTAATATGTGGTAAGTTTCTATACATATAATGTATCCTATAGCTCAAATTCAGCTTACTTTCTGCTTACTTACAGAGACGCTTCGTATGTATCCAATCGTGCCGAATCTGATGCGCAAGGCACAGGCATATTACGACACTGGTGACCCAAAGTATTATATTGAGAAAGGCACCATGGTTATTATACCTACTATAGCTATACATTATGACCCACAGTACTACCCGGATCCCGAGCGCTTCGAGCCAGCTCGCTTCACTCCCGAAGAAATTCAACGCCGACCCGCGTGTACTTGGCTGCCTTTCGGCGAGGGTCCACGCAACTGTATCGGCATGCGTTTTGGCAGAATGCAGACTAGCATCGGGCTAATTTATTTGTTACGTAATTTTCGATTTAGTGTCGCCGCCGAAACCGAAATACCCTGTCCATTAACAAAAGCATCGTGTTTGGTTTCACCGGAGAATGGTATACAGCTCAGAGTGGACAGGGTAGAAGGCGCCAAGCCTATTAGACGTGAATGGGAAAATTTGTAAAACTTTAAATGAAAAAGTCATAACTTTTTTTATACAGACTTATAAGTAATATATAAGATATTATGTAATATTTTACCTCTTAAATGTAATAAACTTTTTAAGCTAAGGTCAGACTATCTACTTGTATAGGGGTTATTTTCTCATAAATTTAAGTTGAGAATATACTCAAGCATTCAGTGTGACAAACGTCATTACAATCACAAAGAGTTATTCAGTACTCAATATTCGAGTAATATACTGTATAGTAGCGCTATCTTTTATTTTGTAGCCACAGGTGCTAATCTAATCAATCACTGTTAACATGCGTATGAATGTAGGTAAATGTGTGAATAATTCGAAAAAAAATAACTAGATCTTGCTCTCCACAAACTAGAAGTCACTCTGAACACTCTCTCATTTATCATGATTATCTTGAACATACTCTCACCGTAAGCAAACACAATGCGCTCACCTATTGAGTAATGATCTGAAATCACACACACATCTCGCTTCTCCCGTGTTCAGTTCTATCGCGACCCTTCGTACGTTCGCACCACGCCGTAACTCCTTGTGCACCGGCCAGCTCGCTTCGCTCAACTCAGTTACACTGCACCACCATGTTGACCTATAGTTTCGTAATTGCGCTCTACGCGCTCTTGGGGCTGTTCACAATGTTTGTGGGTATGATACGTTCACGTATGCTCTATTGGCGCCGTCGCGGTATAGCACACGACCAGCCTGCTTTTTTACTTGGCAATCTGCGAAGTCTTGCCATCACGCGCCAACTCGCCGTGGCATTACGTAAAACTTACGCTAAGTATAAGCATAGTGACGGTCCATTTTGTGGTTTCTATTTGCTGATCAATCCAGTAGCACTCGTAACGGATTTAGAGTTGGCACGCAATATACTCATACGAGACTTTCGAAAGTTTGACGGTCGGGGTTTGTACCATAATAAACGCGATGAGGCATTCTCGGCAAACCTGTGGAGTTTAGAAGGAGATGCATGGCGTGCGTTGCGCAGAAAACTATCGCCCATTTTCACCACTGGTAAAACACAATCCACCATACCGCTCGTCTCTAAAATAGGGGAGCAGTTAAAGCAAACATTTGCAAAACAAGAAAGCACTGATGCTGAACTGGAGGTACAAGACTTGCTTGAACGTTACACTACAGATGTGATTGCCAACAGTGTGCTCGGTTTGGAGTGCAATAGCCTTGAAAAACCGAATACCGAATTTCGCACTGTAATACAAAGTTTCGGCTCAAAACAGCACAGCAGCTTGGCAATTGCCTTGATGCAGTGCCTGCCAAAGTTGGCACAGCGCTGTCGCTTAACCCAAACACGAAGAGAAGTACGAAACTTCTATTGTCGCTTAGTTGGGGATACAATATTACAACGCGAGGATAATAATATTAAATGCAATGATCTAATGAGCGCACTGATCGACTTGAAAAACACTCGGGAAGATGAACACAAGTTAACTATCGACGAGATCATAGCAAACTCCGCTTTGTTCTTCAGCGCTGGCTATGAAACTTCATCAGCAACTTTGACTTTTGCCCTTTATGAATTGGCATTTAATTTAAAGACTCAATCCAAATTGCGAAAAGAAATTACGGAAACATTGGAAAAGCATGACGGCAGACTTACCTCGGAATCACTGAACGAGATGCGATATCTAGATATGGTCATTGCAGGTAAAAAGTCAAAATAATAATACTCCACTCTTGCAACGAAATTTTTAACATGACTTTTCTTTTGCAGAAACTTTACGCAAACATCCGACAAATCCGTATATCGAACGTGTTGCAAATGAGGACTACGAGACTGCAGTGGCAGGATATGTTATATATGCTGGCACTAAGGTGCTCATACCTATTGAAGCCATACATAATGATCCGGAGATTTACCCAGAGCCCGAGAAGTTCAAACCAGAACGTTTTGAAACTGAAAAAGTGGGTCGTCGTCATCCCTTAGCTTGGTTACCCTTTGGCGAAGGGCCCCGCAACTGCATTGGCATGCGTTTTGGTCAGCTACTCATCCGAATTGGTCTCATATCCCTACTGAGCCAATTTAAATTTTCACCTTGCCCACGCACTCCTACTGCGATGGTATACGATGAAACCAGTCCACTTCTTAAACCGCAAAATGGATTGTATTTACTTGCAGAGAGACTCAGCTAGTTGAAAGATCGCGCGTTCAGACGAAAGCGGAGCTTTTACCGCAGTTATGAGTACAATTTAACAATTTTTTTTGGAAAATTGCTCGATTTCATAAGCATTTTATTTATTTATTTCAGATAAAAACTCAAATTTAACGTTAACAAAAATATGTAGTACATACATACATAGAAAGAAGTATTATCAAATGTCTCATATTTTATTAAAAACTAAGATTTTGAACTTGTATGAGAAATTTGTTTACTTAAAAATTAAATTCAAAGTAAATGTTTTTACTTATAATATTACTCTCTATACATATATCTTTTATTTCTATATTTAGTAAACTCGTTGTTGTGCTTCGCAAATATATCCAGTACCTCATGCCTCAAGCGCTTCTGCAACTGTGGCTATAGAGCCAACTCGTGCAATACGAATGCCGTTGTTGTTGAGGAGGTCTCGAAGGCGGCTATGAAAAAGACAAATGTCTGTGCTGCCATCTTCGAAAAAAGGGTTCTGCAAAAATCGCCCAAACACCGATTTTAGTATTATCAATACAAATCGAAAACGTCAATGAGTTGCAAAATTTGTGTAATAGTAAGAATTTCTTGACCTATGCATATTTTTTGCAAATAAACACGTATGTATATATATTCCGAAGCAAGTGTGCTAAAGCTAAACATGCTGATAAAAGTGATAAAATTTAAAATTTTAACCCTCAATGTATCGCCTTCATTACTATGCAATTCCTATAGTCAAGTCAAGTGAACTTCACATGATCGCAGTCGAGTTAAGCTTACATGACTTTCACATTTTAAGTGAAAGATAAGGCTGATATTGGCTTCATTTCACACCTGGACAATAAGGTTATGTATGCATCTATGTGTCTAGATGCTTATCAGTGAAGTGGTAATCACGATGACACATAAATATTTCAACAATAGCGGTACTTTTTATAATTAATGATTTGTAGTTTCTACCAGAATTATTCGAAATATTTCTAACATTTATTACTTTTTATATTTTTTTCGTTTATTTATTATTTACTTTTCGTTTGGAAGTACGCCTTGGAAGGCAACCGCTCTTAGGAACTTTAATCTCAATTAGCGCATTTTTGTCAAAGCAATTCAGTCAAAATTCGTTTTATATCTACCTATAACTGAAGGCATAGTATTATAATTTGTAATTCCCCTAAGATATTGTTTATACTTTCTCAACAAAAAGGCTTGCGTTCTCTCACAAGCTATAAATGACCCTACACAACTTTTTGTGAATTCAAAATAGCACTATTTAAATGATAAAAGAACAATTTCAAGCTTTCCCAGTTGGATGACTTGTGTTCTGGCTCAATATATATACCATTAACAAACAACACAAGATGTGACTCGGCACTCTTTATAAAATTACAGACATTTATCGCAAAGATCCCATCTTGTGTCGATATTTCTCTTGAGACAATAAATCCGCCAAACCGGCGTTATTTCATCGTCAATTGATTCTTCAACTAACTTTTATATCTACCCTTTAGCGATTTATTTTTCATAATCAAGTTATTGCCCATTTAGTGAAAGTTTATAATAAAATTCGGATTTTTCTGCACTAAATTTACTTGTTTTATTAATTTCAATTATTTAACTATAAGTATCTATATATTTTTACACAAACAATAAGTCCATTGAGGTATTCAAGACAATTCATTAATCTAAAACAATCAAACTTTGTCCACACGCAGGTATATGCCAGATTTGGAACTAATGAGATAGCTGATCATGTTGTATGTCATTGGTATGGGTGTTTTGTCGCACACAGTAAACCTGAAATTCTGCAGCAAATACGCCAAACCAACACGCACTTGCATCTGCCCAAAACGCATGCCAATGCAGTTTCGTGGACCTTCGCCGAAAGCTAAGAACTCAATGCAGTCGCGTTTGGCCTGGTTTTCTGGTGCAAAGTTATCGGGATTAAAAACATCTGGGTTAGGATATAGATCGGGATCGCGATGCATCGCACCCACTGGTATCAGAATTTTCATGTTTTTCTTAATCACATATTTCGGATGGCCTGGCACCGGATAGTCCTCCAAGCACTTGCGATTCAATACTGGCAGCACCGTATACATACGCAAAGTCTCTGCAATTAGACCACATCATGTTTGCTATTTATTCCAAACACTGTTTACCAATATTAATTTAAACTTACCCGATATGATTTGGTTTAAGTAAACCATTTCGCTCATGCATTCATAGGTGAACTCTCCAGCATGGCGCTCGAGCACCTGTAAAACTTCCTGACGCGCACGTTCCTGTATATCCGCATGTTGTGCCAATTCGTAGAGTGCAAACGATAGTGTAGTCGATGAAGTCTCAAAACCGGCTATCAGAAACACATAAGCCTGCGCTGCCAATTCCTCTACGGTGATGCTCATATTCTGACCATCTTCGGATTTCATCAACTTATTATTCATCAAATCCAGCAACATATCGAAGAAGTCGTTACGTCTGATATTATTCTTTTCACGGTATTCGATATTCTCGCGCACAATACGCATATAGAAATCGGTGATATGATCGGGAATCATTTTTACATGTAATAATTTGGCTAGGTTGGGAAATGTGTTGACCAACATGCGACCTAACGGTTTCAACCGCACATCGTTCAAAGCTTTGCGGCCCATCACGCAAAACTCCGAATTTGGATTCTTCAAGCTGTTACACTCAATACCGAAAGCGCAGGTACCAATCACATCGGTAGTGAAGCGTGCCGTGAGCTCTTTCACTTCAATCACTGGATCCTCCTTTTGCATTTTCGTAAATAAATTTGCAAGCTCCTCCCCAACACGCACAATAACCGGATACATCATCTTCATTTTACCGGAGGTAAATGTTGGTGAAAGTTTAGAGCGCATGGCACGCCATTTGTCACCATCCAGCAAGAAAAGCTGCCCGGATAACGGGTCGTCCTTAGGATTGGTGTAAAATCCACGATCTGCAAATTTATTAAAGTCTTTTATAAGCACCAGCTTGGCCAGCTCTGGTGTTAGCACAAATACATTGGCACCACGACCCCAATAGAAACCACAAAAGGGTCCGCTGCCTTTGAATTTTTTATAAGTGTCCATCCAAATATCAGAAAAGCTGCGTGTCCTGCCCAAACCAACTGTATTGCCGGCGTAGAAATCCGGCTCATCGCATGGTATACCACGTCGCTGCCAATAGGTTAAAGATTGACGCAGATGGTAGATTATGTAGCCCACAAGGCCCAGCACAATAGCCAAGAGTATTTGTAAAGTACTCATTTTCGCTCTGCTGCGTGATTTCAATCAGAGATACGGAAGTTGAAAAATTTAGATTTTATTTCTGTGGATGTGAAAACAAAGTGACGCTGAGCAATTTAAACTAACTACTGAAAAGTGACAGCAGTTCGCTGCTATTTAAAAGAGTTGCTGATGCTTCGCGGTTTTGGGCAAATATGCTGTGTGAGTAAGCTCTTTGACTCTTTAGTTACAACAATTTTTGTTATCAGAGAAACAGTTGTTATTGTATTTTGGTTTAAAAAACGGTAAAGTACTGAAATTATGATGTGATTTTAAGATAACGAAAAAGATAACAGCGAAAAGATGGGGTATCTTGTTTTCGCATTCCTAAAAGTATGCAAACTTTCTAATTACTAAGGGTGACTTTGATATGCCTAGAGTGTAGTGGCTTTGTTCCGAAGATATTAGGTAGACGAATGAGGACGAACGAACCTCCTTACAATCACTTTATAGTTCACTAATTCGATAATGAATGTAGCACAGGCTACACTTTTCGTGAAATCGCTTGATCTTATCTTAACATTACGACTACAACACTACGACACAGTCGGAAAATGAGCCAAGCCTACTTCCTACAAGCATAAAACGCCATTTTGACCTTAATCAGCTTAGCTTCGTAGCTTAGCAAATCTTACACACAATGAACCAAAACCGAGTGCAAATATTTAATTACTTTATTATTGAGAAATTCAACTATCCCACATAAATTTTAATCAGCAATACTATTTGCAAATTCGTTTTAAGAATGTTACATCCTGCTCACACTTTCTCAACATACACACAAATAGCATGCTCAGATTGCACTATAAAGTTTATCTTGTCATATTTCATCGGAATTGGAGTTTTCCCACACACGGAAAACTTGAAGTTCTTCAAGAGCAGCGCCAAGCCAATACGAGCTTGCATTTGACCAAATCGCATGCCAATACAATTGCGAGGTCCCTCGCCGAAGGGCAGCCATTCAACACCATCACGCTGGGCCACCTTCTCGGGTGTAAAGTTATCGGGATCGAAAGTGTCGGGGTTGGGATAAATATCAGCATCACGATGATATGCCGCACACGGTATAAGAACTTGCATACCCTTAGCGATAACAAATTTCGGGTTACCCGGCACAGGATACTCCTCCATGCACTCACGATTTAACACGGGAACCACAGTATAGAGGCGTAGTGTTTCTATGTACATGAATAAAATCTAGTTTAATAATATTGTTGACTATTGCTATTGACGTTTGATCTTACCGGAAATTACTTGGTCCAAATAGACCATTTCCTTCATGCAATCATAAGTGAACTCGCCCTTGTGTTTCTCCAGAATTTCTATGACTTCGTCACGCACACGCTGTTGTATATCTTCGTGCTGTGCCAGTTCATACAATGCGAAGGACATGGTAGTCGACGAAGTCTCGAAGCCGGCAATGAGAAATACAAACGCTTGGGCAGCTAATTCCTCAACGGTAATGCACATGTCTTGACCGTCTTCTGATTTTAATAACTTATTGTTTTTCAATTCTAGCAGCATGTCAAAGAAATCATTGCGTCGGATATTATTCTTCTCACGGTAAGCGATATTTTCGCGCACAAGGCTCATGTAGAAGTTCGTGATATGATCGGGTGTACTTTTAATATGTAACTTTCGACACAATTTCGGGAAGCTATTTAAAAACGCCAACCCAATTTTTCCGTGACGCAAATCAGTGAAGACACGTTTTCCCATCTGTCGGAATTCATCGTTCGGATTCTTCAAACTATTCACATCAATACCAAATGCACAAGTGCCGATGACGTCAGTGGTGAAACGCGCTAGATAATCACGTATCTCCAAAACTGGTTCCTTCTCAATAGCCTCCGCCACAACGCGCACAAACTCGTCACCCACGCGGCACACAGTCGGGAACATATACTTCATTTTACCGGATGTGAAAGTGGGCGATAGCTTATTGCGCATTACACGCCATCTATGTCCCTCCAAGAGAAAAAGTTGTCCAGTAAGCGGATCATCCTCCACATTCGTATAGAAACCGCGATCAACAAAATTATTAAAATCTTTAATAAGTATTGCTTTTGCCAATTTTGTGTCCAAAATGAAAGCCGATGGGCGTTGGAACCAAAAGAAACCACAAAATGGACCAGTTCCTTTAAATTTTTTGTAGGTTGTCAGCCATATCTCCAAAAACGAACGTGACGTGCGTATGCCATTTAAATTGCCAAGTAAATAATTTGGCTTCTCATAGGCAATGCCGCGCACCTCCCAATACATGAAACGTTGACGTAGCCAGTAGACCGCATACCCCAGCAGTCCAAGCAGCATAGCTAGCAGGACTTGCGTGACGGACATTTTTAGAAAATTAATTAGAGCGACGAAACAAAGAAATGATTTTCAGCAGTCGGTCAGTTGGAGCGTGCGATATAACAGCGTTCTGCGTACTAAACTAATAGCAAAATTTTTGACACTGCGAAAGTGGAGAAGCCAGCGCGAGCTTTCAGTCGATAGCATGCGTAGGCAATCATGCATTTTTTTCTATTATCTTAAATTATTTTGAGTATGATTGCACGAGCTTTTTGCAAATCAAATGGTGTGCAATTTTCTCGGGCTACGTTGTAGACGCAAGTATACACAAACAATTTAAGAATATCTAGCAGCATTTATACAGCAGTTGCTGAGCGTCTCCGGTATGGTTATCCATTTTTACGCTCACGTTTAGCTACTGATTACTTTATTTTTGCTTTTTATTTATTTTTTTTTTTTTGGAATTTGTATTGATTCCTATCAAATTATCTTGAGCTTCCAAGTGGAACAGTCAACATTACTCAGCAAAAATATGTAAAAAGCTGATGAAACAAGCAAGGTGTGGTTTTGATATTTATATAATATTTATATAAGAAATATATTCTCAGCGACGATTCTGTAAACATATAAAAACAAGAACCGTTTCATAATCTTTGTTACAAATCTGTCTTTGAAGTAATACAAGCTTGGACCTAACCAAAATCCTGCCATAGGGAGTGTGCTGCTTTTAGCACAAAACTTTAGACAAAGTCTATTGAGTTTAATTACATGTAATATTATCAAGAATTTCTGCCTGCATATTCTCAATAAACTAGCTGACTTTTCGCGCAAATAATTTTCATCAATCATTAGAATTCAACCATTATAATTATCTTATCAAGCTTAAGCAATCGCTGCTTATAAATAAAGCGCTTATATAAACACACATAAAAGCATGCATGCGATTTCACCTTACGGATACGAAATAAGTTCAAAAAGCGTGCAATTTGTCCTAATGAAAATATTAATATTAATGGAAGAGGAGAGCACACTGTTAGTTAATACTCATCGCTTAGCAACATATAAATATACTTAAAATGTAAACAACAGCAAACAATTCTCAAAGCTTTTGAAAAATTGCTTTCAAGTTGTAGTAGATGGCATGGTGTGCAATGTCAGCAACACACATATTTTAGAAAATACAAAGCAGAACGTATAAATAAAACATAAGCAATAACGTCGCAACTCTTTAAGGCAATTAAAATAATATATTTTTATTAAAACGTCCTCTTTAAATTAACGGCATTTACAAATTCTGAAACACACAAATATATACAAAATTTTTCACTCATCTTAATAAACGGAAAAACCCAAGAGCACCACTTCGATCGGCCATCAAACAGCCAACTTTTCAACGCTCAAGTAAATATCGCCCTCAGCAATCGACACAAAAGATTCTTTGCTGTATTTAATGGGTATCTGTGTTTTTTCGCTAACACTGAATTTGAAGTTCTTCAACAAGTAGGCCAGGCCAACTCTTGTCTGCATAAGACCGAAACGCAGTCCAACGCAATTGCGCGGACCATCGCCAAAGGGCAGCCACTCAATGGAATCGCGCAGCGCCACCTTTTCCGGCGTAAAGTGTTCGGGATTAAACTCTTCCGGATTGGGATAGTAATGCTCATCGTAGTGTATACCTACAGCCGGTATTATTACAAACGTGCCCTTTTTAATTTGATATCTGGGTTGATCGGGCACTTGATAATCCTCCACACATTCTCGAACTAACATGGGCAATATAGTGTGCTTGCGTAGTGTTTCTTATTGAGACAGAGTTGTTGTTATATTGTTAAATCAAATTCATTAAAGGGAATTAGTGCGCACTCACCTGATATCACTTGATTCAAGTAAACCATTTCACTCATACACTCATAAGTGAATTCACCATTGTGTCTCTCCAGCACTTCGACAACTTCCTGTCTCGCACGTTGCTGTATGTCCTCACGCTGTGCCAGCTCGTAGAGCGCAAAACCCATGGTTGTCGATGAGGTCTCAAATCCAGCTACCATAAATACAAATGCTTGCGCTGCCAACTCTTCAACGGTTATATTCGTCATAGCCTGACCGTCCTCCGATTTCATCATTTTATTATTTTTCAGATCCAACAACATATCGAAAAAGTCATGACGTTTAATGTTATTCGCCTCACGATAGGCAATATTTTCACGAACAATGCGCATGTAGAAGTCGGTAATGTGATCGGGCACAATTTTAATATGTAAACGTCGCGAAATTTTGGGAAATAGAAGAACTAATGCCAGCCCTAAGGTACCATAACGCTGATCTGTGAACACACGTCTACCCATCTGACGGAATGGATCATTGGGATTTTTCAAGCTGTTGCAGTCAATGCCAAAAGCGCATGAACCAATAACGTCAGTGGTGTAGCGTCCAAGAAAATCGCGCACTTCTATTGTAGACCCACCGTTCACAGCCTCAGCGTACACATTCACGAGCTCTGCGGCCACTCTAGTAACTGTCGGAAACATTTGCTTCATTTTGCCAGATGTGAATGTTGGTGAGAGCTTAGTGCGCATCGCACGCCATTTATGACCGTCCAATGAAAAGAGATGCCCTGAAAGCGGATCATCATCTGGATTCGTATAGAAGCCGCGATCCGTGAACTTATTGAACTCCTTGATGAGTATAGCTTTAGCAAGGCTGGTTTCCAGTACAAAAACTGAAGGACGATGAAACCAGTAGAAACCACAAAATGCTCCCGTACCTTTGAATTTACTATATGTGGAACGTGCTATATCCGCGAATGAGCGTGTCGTGCGCATTCCTATCAAATTGCCCAGCAGATAGTTTGGCTTATCGCATGCAATGCCAAGATCCTGCCAGAAATTCATGCGCTTCCGAAACCAATAGATAAAGTAACTCACAAGCCCCAAGACTATGATTAATAGAATTTGCGTTACTGCCATGTTAGCGAGTGAAAGCTTAGTACACGAGTGCTTCTCCGTCTAATGCAAATGATGAACTAATGCCACAACTATTTGTTGCACAGGCAAGCGATAAAAAGCTTTGGTTATGCAAGCCAAGTACATATGCTCTCGCATGCAATTTCTGTCTCTCACAGTTCGCTAATATCAAGAAAAAAAAAATATAAACAGATAGCTTGATAAATGCTGGTTGGTCACTTAATGAAATTGAAAACTCAAAAGTGATGCGTGAACTTTTCTTTAATCAGCTTTTCTTTTCTATCATCTGATAAATATATATCATCATATTAATACAATTCATATGAAAGCACATCTTTATAGAGCAATAAATTTAACGAATTTTTAGTTTAAAGGTTTCATAAAGTTTTTCCTTTAATCATATAAACTGAAAAGAAATATATTACTTAAATCGCTTGTACTTTCAGATGGATGCCGCTTTTGGTAGTGGTTAAAACTTGCTTGCGATCGAATACTAAAGGAATGTCAGTCTTCGCACAAATGCCAAATTCAAAGTTACGTAATAAGTAAGCAAGGGCGATGCGTATCTGCATTTGAGCAAATCGCAAGCCGATACAATTACGTGGACCCTCGCCGAAGGGCAGCCAAGTGATGGAGTCTCGTGATTGCATTTCCTTCGGTGCAAAACGTTCCGGGTCGAATTTTTCAGGTTCCGGGTAAATCTCAGGATCATGATGTATTGCCATCACTGATATGACCACAGTTTTACCTTTTTCTATCACATAGTTGGGATGTCCAGGCACAACATAATCGGCCATAGCCTTACGCCGCAAATGTGGTAGTACTGGATATTTACGGAGTGTTTCTAACGCAATCGAAGAAAGCATGTTATGTACTGTAATTAAATTGGAATCCACTTTTGCATTACTCACCTGATACAACCTGTTTCATATAAGAAATCGAATTCACACATTCATAAGTCACCTTACCGCCATGATTTTCAACCGCCTCAATTATTTCTGCACGCAAGCGCTGTTGAATGTCTGGATTAAGCGCCAACTCATAGAGTAAAAATGCAAGAGTTGTAGATGATGTCTCAAAGCCAGCGATAAAGAACACAAACACTTGCGCCGCCATTTCCTCCAACGTAAGCCCTTTCTCCTCGCCCTTATCGTCGAACTTTAATTTTCCTTTGTTTAACTCCATCAGTATGTTCAAAAAATCATTACGCTGCACATGCTTCTTCTCCCTATAATCAACAGCTTCACGTACAATATTCAAGAAGAAATCAGTTATCGCGTCCGGGAACGTACGCATATGAAATTTTCGTGCCATATTCGGAGCGGTATTTATCATGGTCTCAACGAGAAGGGAATGGCGAGTGTCGGTAAAAATGCGACGTCCCATTTGACGGAAAATAGCATCAGGATTCTTGAGACTGTTACACTCAATGCCAAAAGCGCAAGACCCAATCACATCGGTGGTGAAACGTGCTAAAAGTTCCTTGATTTCAACAACGTTACTCTTCTCAATATCGCTATTTAAGGTTTCAACAAATTGTTCAGCCACTGAAACCACAGTGGGAAACATAAACTTCATTTGACCAGAGGTAAAGGTGGGCGTGAGTTTGTTGCGCATTACGCGCCATTTCTGACTTTGTAATAAAAACAAATGTCCAGTGAGGGGCTCATCTTTCTCATTTACATACAGACCACGTTCGCTGAAATTGCTAAAGTTTTTAATTAACACCTGTTTGGCCAACTCCGGTGTGAGCACAAGGACTGCCGGCTTTTGTAGCAAATAAAAACCGCAAAAGGGGCCCGAACCCGAATAACGTCTGTATACTTTAATAAAGGCTTCTGCAAAACTGATAGTCTTTGAGAGACCGTGCAGATTGCCATGAATCCAATGGGGCGAATCGCACGGGATGCCTCTCCGTTGCCAATACGTTAGATTCCGATGCGCTCTATAAATGAAAGCGGCAATGGCAGCCAAAATAATACTTAATAGAATTCCTGTTACGTTCATTTTTCCGTTCAACACTTTCGCCGGAGACTATCCCACCGTTTTATATACAAATTTAACTATACAAGCTCAGCATTGAGCACCAACTGATGGTAATTATTCGTAAATTTAACATTTATAGTAAACAAGACGACTAATAAAAATTAGTTATCTTTTTATATTACTCTACTAGATATCTTTTTATTATTATAGCATAAGTTGTATCCACTAAAATGACGCAGCAGTTTTACAAGCAATGGTGTGTAGGTACCTAGAAATGAGCGTGACAAGATCACAGACTGATTAGGTAATTTAAATTTGTGATAAAAGCAAAGCAAATTCATATTTTTTCAAATAAAAATATTTCTCAAGAAAATAGAGACTCATACTTTTACTGTACTGACCACAAATGAAGCAGAAAATATTAAATATTGTCTGAAAATATCGTTGCCGTTTGTTAGAATAAAGTTGAGGCTCCAAATAAGTTCTTCAGTTCGTTTATAGTTTGAGTATTACAAAAGCGTTATTTTATAATAAAAAGAACACTCAGGAACCCTAACAAGTATTTGCTTATATTTTCTTATAAAAATGCGATATTTACATAATTTTTGTAAAAATCTCAAATATTTATTTAATTATTTTTTCATACTTTTTATAAATAATTTATTATGTTGATCAACCAAAAAGTTTATATTTAACAACAAACTTAATTAAAATCCAAATCCAAACACGAATTTGTGTCTAAGAGATTGAAGGTTGCATAACTGTCCGGTATAACGGACAAGCGAAGAAAACCTCAAAGTCTTAGAAATCCACAATTACACTGGCAGTCGCGGATATAATAAGAGCAAAAAATAGTTAAATTAAATAAATAAGTCAATGCTTTCAACAATTTGTAAGCAATAGTATCACATTCACCGTTAACATTTTGTATTTCTTTGTACACAGACTGTAAATTTGCAAGTTTATATAATACACAAATATTATTACCTCGTACAGATAGTAGGAAGATGCCATTAAGTTCATGATAAATAAACTTATTTTGGTCAAAAAACGTTTTTTTAAGAAAAATATAAAACTACTTTTCCAAAGACGTTTTGGTAAACTTAAATTCTAACAACCCAAACAGTGCTCAAACAAACATTACGCACTAAATGCGTTCCACTTTCAAAAAGATACCGTTTCTAGGAATAATCGAAAAAGACTTGCTGACCTCTACCGGCACATCGGTTTGTGCGCTCAGAGAGAAACGATACTTCTGCAGCAAGAAAGTTAGAGCGACACGAATTTCCATATGACCGAAGCGAAAACCAATACACTTACGCGGCCCATCACCAAAGGGTAGCCACTCAATCTTGTCGCGAGCCTTTACCATCTCCGGTGTGAAGCGCTCTGGATCAAACTTTTCGGGATCAGCATATATTTCGGGATCATAATGTAAGCCAACCACGGGTATCGTAACTAATGTGCCAGCCGGTATAATGTAGTTTGGATGGCCGGGTACGACATAATCATGCAAAGCTTGACGCGCCAGATGCGGTAATATCGGGTACTTACGTAAGGTTTCTGTGAAATGTTAACAATCACATATTTGTTAAAAAAATCTTATCAGAAAATACGTACCTGCTATCACCTGCTTCATGTATGCCATCTCGTTCAGAGACTCAAAGCTCAGTTCGTTGTCGTGTTGACACAACGTCTCATTAATTTCACAACGTAGCCGGTCCTGCAGATCGGGTTGCATAGCCAGCTCATACAGAGCAAAGGAGAGCGTCGATGATGACTTTTCGGAACCTGCAGCAAAGAAGAAAAACGCTTGCGCTGTCATCTCCTCCACAGTCAGACCCTTAAATTCATCATTTTTATCATACCTTAATTTTCCAACCTTGTTCAGCTCCATCAGTAACTCCATGAAATCATTACCATGAACATTGTACTTCTCACGATACTCTACATTCTCGCGCACCAAGCGCATAAAGAACTTCTCTATGTCCGGATGTATAGTACTCATATGCAGCTTACGCGCCAATTGCGGGAACCCTTGAATAAGCCCAGACACTAAGAGACCATGACGACGATCTGTGAAAATGCGTCGCCCAATTGCACGACACTCAGCATTTGGGTTTGTCAGACTATTGCATTCAATGCCCAAAGCACATTTGCCAATCACATCGGTTGTGTAGCGACCAATCAGCTCCTTGACTTCCACATTGGCGTTGCGCTCCATCAGCTGATCAAGCGTGCTGATCATTTGCTGTGCTATATCGCGCACGCACGGAAACATGCCACGCACTTTGCACTCGGTAAACGTCGATGACAGTTTACCATGCAACACATGCCATTTTTTACCATCCACGAAGAACAGATGACCCGTTAATGGATCATCTTTCTCATTATGGAATAGACCACGATCGCTGAAGTTTGAGAAATCCTTAATCAGTATATTTTTCACAAGCTCTGTATCCAATACCATCACAGCGGGGCGTTGAAAAAATAAATAGCCACAGAAAGGACCCGTGTCCTTGTAACGCTGGTACATTGAACGTAAGATCTCCGAAAAGCCGCATATTCTAGTCAAACCACGGAAACTGCCATATAAATAACTGGGTTTATCGTGTGGTATGCCACGTTCCTGCCAGTAATTCATGCGACGCCAGCATAAATATGTCATCGCCAATAGCAAAGCCACAACGCTTGCAAACAGCACAAGCGTCAGACTTATAGTAAAATTCAAAACGAACAAAGTGAATATAACCATCTTCCACGTGAGTATGTAACTTAAATTAGTTGTATACATTATAAGTTGAGCTTGAGCACTAACTGCGCATCGAGTCGCGTAGCACGCTTATATAGCGTCAACAAGAAGGCGTGCTTCGACGTAAACAAACACGCGCCCGCTCGTGGCTGGTGTGCGACAGCTGTCTAGCATTTTTATTAGATTCTTAAATGGCGAACAGCAGCCGCACAAGACGAGTGAGTTTGTGCGCAACTAACTGTCAATTGATGAGTGTTCGCAGCCTGATGCACCATAGGTAATAAAAATTTACTGTACTCGTACATATATTATTACATTAGAGATTGACTTACAAACCGATCGCGGAATGTAGTACCATCAGTCGGTTACTTAATGGTGTCTTAGAATATTATAATTTGGAGAAAAAACTCCTATCTTATCTTAAATGCCTTTAGGTAAACATTTTCGCTATTATTATTATGATTAAAGCGCAGTCGTAGGGCCATTTGAGTACATTGGAGTAGGCGAACAAACGAACCGGCGGTGTGTGTGACAATGTCTAGCAATAAGAAGTAATACTATACTTACAGTAAAATTGAAAGTAAACTGAAATTTTCACCTTTACTTACACATTATTTCGATAAACATGATTGTATCTCTATAAGCACGAAGGCTGTTATAAAGAGGTTGGGTTAGATTTTCGGAAGAAGCCCTTGGCAGAGATTACGGAAATTCCAATTGAACTTGAGACCCTATTGATTTATGATGCCAAAACAACTAGCTATTGATCAAAAGACCCTCATGCATTAGCGCTTTCAGCCTTTGATAAATCTGCGGCTAATATCGATCGCAGCCAATCCGAGCAGAAAATGTCGTACAAACTAGATTATTAAATCGGCCCATAACCTCGAAGCTTGCCTCTGATTGTTGGCATATTTATAATTGATTCAATGTAAATAAACTGTTTTTACAATAACAACACCTCATTTGTGATATAAAATAACCTATTTAAAACTAACACATTGCTATTGTTTTGTGATATGACCGCTAAATAATGCACAGTTATGAAATTGCTTGTTTAAAACAGCAGCTGATGATCAATCATGGGGACGCCAGAAGCGAGGCATTGGAACGCATCTCGCATTCAAAAATATATCTGAGCTAGACTCTATGTTTTATAAATAAGTATATATGTATATTTGTATGCGTAAACAAGCGATAATTCATATATAGAAGCGATCGTGCTTGGTATGTGTGTGTGCGGCTATGTATATTTTGTAGACGCTCTGTCCGTTTAGGTCTTACTCTTAAGAGAATATTTAATTTAAACTTGCTCTGAGTAGAAGAATAAGTTGTTTAATTTTTGACCGAAAAAGCTAAACCGACTATTTTGAAATCGTTATCTAACAAGGGTTCAAATTCCACGACTTTAAAGCTGTTGCTCTCAAGTAGATATTCTCGTTGGCCTATTGTATTCGCATTTCGGTTCATGGCTTGAAATTTTCAATGTAAAATTAACGATGGCATCCACCGTGATAAAATTTAAATATATAAGTAAAAAAAGAACAAATGAAAAGTCTCAACACATCACTTACTCACCCTGTATGTGCATACGTAAATTAGACTTTCAAATTACAAACAAGTCGGATGGAACCACCTCATTTGAGCAGCGACGTAAAAGGCAGAGAACGCAATTTCATTGTTTATAACACACAAATAAAAACAAAAACTATTTTGCGAAAACTTTAATTAGCATACAATTAGTATGTCATGTAGTAGTTAAAAAGCACAGGCGTGTTACCCCGAGCGCCAAGTCAATAAACCAGCGTTAATCTTTCTTTCACCTTGATTTTCGAATATTCGAAATTATTGTAACTAATTTATTTCAAATAACCTCTTATTTATTACTTGTAGATAAGATGACGTTTTGACTAGTTGAAATGAGAATTTAATTGACGAAGTTGGAATTATTACCGTTACTTAACAAACATATACGTATGAGCGTAATATACTATGTATATAATAAATGTATGTATAATGGCTTAAGTACTCATGCGGACTTAAATATAGATAAGTATGTATGTTTCTTCATTACATGGCTATTTATATTTGCTCAACCTTCAGGTGTATGCCTCCTTGCGGAAACAAGGGGAAAGTCTTCTGGTAAACCATTGGAATTTGCGTTTGTGCGCAAGGTGTGAACTTATACCGACGCAGTAAATAGGCCAAGCCGACGCGCATTTGCATTTGCCCGAAACGCATACCAATACAATTGCGCGGACCATCGCCGAAGGGCAGCCAATCGACAGAGTCGCGTAACTTCACCGCCTCCACTGCAAAACGTTCTGGATCAAATTTTTCGGGTTCCGGATAAATCTCCGGGTCGTAGTGTATGCCAATTGTAGGTATGGTGATCATCATGCCCTTCTTGATCACATATTTAGGATTACCCGGCACCACGTAATCTGCAGCCGCTTGACGCATCAAATTCGGTGCAATCGGATATTTCCGCTGAGTCTCTTTTATAGAGAAGAGATACAACGTAAATTTATATACAAAACAAACAAACGCACAAGTACACATTGCTTACTCACCAGAGAGCACCTGTTTCATATATTGCATGTCTTCCATGCACTCATAGGTGAACTCATTGTTATGTTTCTGAATAGTCTCCTCGATCTCTTTACGCAGGCGCTCTTGTAAATCGGTTTGTAATGCCAATTCGTACAGCGCGAATGCCAACGTTGTAGACGAGGTCTCAAAACCGGCAACGAAAAACACGAATACCTGTGCTGTCATCTCGCTCACACTCAATGCACGCAACTGATCATTTTCGCTCTTCAAGTATTTACCCTTATTGAGGTCCATCAAAATACTCATAAAGTCATTGCCTTGCACACCATTACGCTCACGATATTCGATATTCTCGCGCACGATGCGCAAAAAGAAGTCTGTAATCTCCTGCGGCATAATAGCCATACGTAGACGACGCGCCATATTCGGAAAGCTATTAATGAAGGCGTTAATGAGTGGCCCGTGCCGACGCGACCCAATTAGTTTGCGCCCCATAACACGAAACTCAGCTTTGGGGTCTTGCAGGCTATTGCATTCGATGCCAAATGCGCAATTCCCAATCACATCGGTGGTGAAACATGCCATCATCTCTTTCCAGTCCCACACATGCTCATCGCTAGCCATACGCTTCTCAACGGCGCTCATCAGCTGATCCGCCACCTTCAATATGGTGGGAAGCATGAATTTCATTTTACCCGACGTGAAAGTAGGTGTCAGCTTACTACGCAAACCGCGCCATTGTTTACCATCCAAGCGAAAGAGATGACCGGTGAGCGGGTCATCTTTTTCGTTGTGAAAAATGCCGCGATCGGAAAAATTATTGAAATCCTTAATGAGTATGTTTTTGATGAGCGCTCTATCCAACACCAAAACGGCGGGGCGTTGAAATAAATAATAGCCACAAAAAGGACCCGAACCGCGATGATGTGTGTATATTTCACGTAGAATTTCGGCGAAACTGCGCGTTTTCATCAAGCCCTTCAAGTTGCCGGCGAAGAAGTGTGGCGCATCGTGCGGTATGCCTTGGTAGCGCCAATAATTCATGCGCCGATGCAACAAATAGTAAATAAAAGTAAGCAACGCCAACAGCACGGCTATTAAAATTGCAAACGCAGACATTCTTTTAGTTCACCGGCTATCGAGCAACTGATCAATAGCAAAGCGTTTTACGAGTGAAAATGTATTTAGTAATAACAATAACTAAGAGAGCTAAGTTCAAGCGAACAGCACAACAGAATTGGAAATTCTGGGAATTGCGAACCATAAATTGCGGTATGAGAACAACGTTGCGATGAGGTGTTTACACTCTTTACTACTGACTATGAAAAATCGGTTAAGTTATTTATAAACATAAATAGCTGTCGACATGCAGAAAATTATATCGTACTGTAGATAAGGCCATTGAGTAATGGCAAGCCCAAGTATTTGTAAAAGAATTCAGAATAACCCAGCAAACACTTTACGCATTGCGAGTATATTGAGCGTATGCAAGCGGAGTTTTATGCTCAGAACTGCCATAGCCTCTAGAGAGAGCCTTCTCTCTTCATAAACTCAAGCATAATCGAAGTCTAGTATTTGAAGAAGAGTATAGTACGAATTTGTAGGCTTACACGGTTTCCTAGTCTCATTTAAACTATGTGTTCTTAGAGTTATATTGTACATGAGTATATAACATCATTATTCTCATCATATAACGTTATTAGGCTATTGTTTTAATCCCTACAATTCATAAGCCCCTCTTAATTTTGCTAGAATAACGCTCAGTTAAAAGTGTTATCTGCGTTCAGTTTGCCAGAATATTATTTTAACATTAATTTTATACGTTTTAAAATTTTGTTTGATAACTGGCGTAGACTTGATAAATTTCTTATTTTTATTTCTCTTATGCGCAAAATAAATACTCGCATATTTCCCAAAGTTACCATTGCTTTCGTATTTTTGCGCGGATATAAGGCAGCTACGTTGTAAAATAATTGTACAATATGAAAAAATATACATATATACAGATGTACATACATATATATATAGACATATAGACATATATATGTATGTCCGTAATGCACGACAAAAACCGGCCGAATTATTTTGTTTGTCTCTTTACGCTCTGGAACTTATGAATTATCACTGAGCGGGCGCGTATATGAGGAATTTATGTATACGTTTATATTTACTAAATATGTATATGTGTGTGGCACAATTGATTATAAAATATAAACTTATATAAACAAAGCACTGTTATGTTTTGTGGGGAGCAGTAAATAGTAATAATTTCTTGGATTCATTATAAATATAAATCACATATCGATATCTAATTTAACTGCACTCAAAGCGATCAATTAGAATCAATCATAATTGACTACTTACTACGCACCATTAGATATACAATAGGTACTTCTGATCACAGCGAGGGCTGCTAGTCAACGAGCGCGAGGCGAAATATCTTTCAATGATTATGTATGTAATAACTCTCAGATACTTTCCGTTAGATGCAATTTCAATTTTTTTTAGTATTGAAATAATTACTTTCGAAAATTCAACAAGCAAACAATTTATTCAATGTCTGCTGGGTATAATTTTGCATTTTTTTAACGCGATACTGTTCATTCGTGCTGGTTTTCAAAGAAAATCATTTAATCACGGCTCAAAATTTCAAACGAAATGTTCAAATTCAAGTTAAACTAAAGTGCAAATAACTCAAACTTTATATTTTATTTGCCTAACGCTGACAGATGCTTAATACGTAGTTATTGTAACTTATATGTGACAAATTAAAGGCATTTGCTCATGCTCCGTATCAGAAACTTTTTTACATTTAACATTCTTTGTTCAACTTCTTATTGTTGTAGTATTTGCACCATAATTATTTTGCTTAGAAAAGCATTTTCATTTACTCTCTTCAAAATTATCTACATATGAAATTGATTCGCAATACTCGCACAATGCATACCTACTTATAAGCTTAATTAGAAACGATTTGTATCGAACGCAAATGATAAGTACTTCAGTATGCATAGAAAAGCAACCCCGACAGTGTTCGAAACGTTTCGGGATTTTAACAGAAAAGGGGCGAGTTTTCTACGCCAGTTAACAAGTCGGAAGTCAACTTATGAGAGAAATTAAATATTTCTAAATGTATGTACATATGTATGTTATCATAACAGAGCTAAGTATAATATATAACGGAGCTGTATTATAATAGTTTCAAGTACAAAATTACGCACATTTAACATTTCGGCATTTTTTCTTAGTTTTTAGTAGAAAAATTAAAGTTCTTAAAGGCTTATTGAAATTTAAGCGTGTTTCAGCGCTCTAAAAGCTCCAAGGTAAGATAAATTGTATGACTAGCTTAGTTAGGTAAGGTTCTAAGGCTAGTACACGCATTGGGAATCACACTTAGCGGAATGAGAAACGTGAGAAAGTGAAAATGCTTTGTGAAACCAGCACAATTTGGTTCACACGCGTCGAGAGAGCTACGTTATTTATTTCTATTTCTGCTAGTTTCTCTGAATGGCTCGAGTTAAAGCTGCAAATAAAATTTGTATGATACCAGAAGAAAACACGACGCTTTTATTAGATAACTATGCACGTAGACACGAAGTATATCTGAAACTGCAGTAACAAAAATATAATCTATTCAGTTTTTTACTTTCATTTTTACCGCTTCAACTTTTGATAAGATAATGCTTACCATATTATATGCTTACTGTGGCTTTAATTCCTGCCCTTACCAAACAACAGTCAGTTAAAAGCATTATCTGAGCAGTACCCAGATAATAATATTTGTTTTGCTAATAAATGTATAATATAAGTGCATTAGATGCTAGTTAACGCTGCAATTAGACACAAAGACACACAAACCGCCGAATTCCAAACAAGTAGAAACAACTTTATAAACATATACGCGCTGACTGCCATGCAATATACTTGTTTATCTGCACCCACGCTCGCTTAGTCACACGCTCTGACCTGCGCCAAAGCGCGGGCAATAAATAAAATTATCATCGAGCAGCTTGAGTGATGGTTAGAGCAATAGCAAACACACGTATTCGAAATTGTTATAAAAGTAAATGTTGAAAAATGTCAATAAAACAAAGCGCAATCGAAGCGTTTGAAATCACGAGAGTTATTGACTACTTTAGTGCACACAATGTTGCCAGATTAGCCACTGGCATTGGCGCGAATGCTGCGCGATATGAGAATTTATTGCGTTGCGACAAGCGTGTAGAATGTTTAGCTACTAGCGCACACAGACACTTACACCGATACTTAAATGCATCAAAGGAAGTGCTAACATCGTTCCGTTGTTGGCCGGTAGTGCAGCGTCACTGTAACGCTTACGGTTTACTGCATTTTTGTTAAGCCCAAAAGCGGAAACTTACTTGGTATTGAGCAGTCTAAATATATTGTCAGTTAGCGCGGCAGTTGCGGTTTTCATAGGCCTCTACAGCAACATCTCAATGTGTGATGTAACGAAAAGTTCAAATAATTGCGCGTCCCCTGACGACGCGTACTCCCAACAGAACCCCTTTTGAGACCCGCCGCACCCCGAGCGCAACGCGTATAAAGAAAGCCATTAAAAAATCGCTCACCGATAGTAACGATAATTAAAATGTTATAAAGCGTATATGGCGAGCATGGGCGAACGGAAAAAGCTCCACAATTGACTCCGTCGGAAAAGCGCAGCGCGAGAGCGCCGCGGAGTACGAGTAACTAAAGTACTGAGGTAATCGAAACGCTTAGTAAGCGGTTGAAACGCGCGTTGAGCGGCAGCGAAAAATACTTACCGACAGTCAAGTGTTTTGCACTTTAGTATTAAGCGAGAATAACAGGTGCCGGCGGTATCGCGGTGAGGTGCATGTGTGTAACTAGATAGCATAAAATATATTTTTTAAATAAATTAGCGCTTTATACGGTCGTTCGCTTTGCTTCCCAGTGAATACTTGTCAATGTGGCCTTGAAAAGGGCAAACGATCAGTTGAAATTCCACCGCATTCACAAATAATAAAGCAAAACAACTCATAAAATGTGGTGGGTTTGGTTAATTGTTGGTGTTGTACTAGCAATGCTCGTCGTTTTCATCATTACGCCACTCATCTATATCTGCTACAAGCGCAACTACTGGCGTTGGCATCAAGTGCCTTTCGAAGCGCCCGCACCGGAATTTGAGATCCTGCAGCGCTTGCTCGGACTGCGGCCGACGCTGGAATGGGAGGAGCTGGAGCACTATGATTCACTGTATCGCAATTTTAAGGGCCATAGTCCGTTTTGCGGTTTCTATCATCGCATGCAGCCGCGTGCACTCATACTTGACCGCGAATTGATTATGCAGATACTAATCAAGAACTTCTCGAATTTCAACGATCGCGGCATCTACCACAACAGCAAAGATGATCCGCTCTCTGCCGATTTGTATAGCCGACGCGGTAGCGAATGGAAAGAGATGCGTTTGCGACTAGAACCGATCTTCGCCAAAGATGAAATGCGCTACCTGTACGATAGTTTGCGCGATTCGTGCGCCGAGTGGCTAAATGGCTTCGACCAGTTGGTGCGAGATGAGCGCGCACACAGCGGTTACATTGAAATACGTACACAAATGCGTCGCTATGTGTTAGCCAGTTTGGCAGCTTGTGTATTCGATTTGAATGCACAACGCCAAGAGAAATATCCGCTCAATGTGTTCGATGATATGACTCACCTAGAAAATACGACATCACGTCATAGTAAGTTTGCGAATGCTGTTTTACGACGCTACCCGCGGTTAAGTAAGAAACTCAAAATGCGCACTACCTGCAAGGTAGTTGAAGACTATTTCACGGGGCTCATCGCTGAAGTAGTCGCGGAGCGCGAAAAGAATGGCACCGAAAAGAAAGACTATCTCCAATTGCTGATCAACTTAATGCAGCAGGAATTGAGTACGCACGAAGTGGAAGATCAAACAATGAAGGAGCTTAAAGAACACTTGATGGACGAACTGGCGGCGCATGCTATCTCGTTTCTTAAAGCCGGCTTACGTCCTACAACACACACTATTACATATGTTTTATATGAGTTGGCCTTAAACGATCCCATACAACAGCAGTTGCGTGACGAGGTGGAAGAAGCTTTACAACGCCACAACAATGAGCTCTCTTACGATTGCATACGTGAGCTCAAGTTTCTAGGTCAAGTCATATCAGGTGAGTTGCCTTCTGAATAAAACGTCAGAGTATGAACTCATTTCTTCTCTAATTTCCAGAGACCATACGCCTCCATCCGGTCGTTCCCTATCTAATACGACGCACACTGACCGATTTTCCAGTACCGAACAACAACAAATATACGCTACCCAAAAATATGTTCATCATCGTACCGACACATGCCATACACAACGATGCCGAATACTACCCCGAGCCGTTTATATTCAAACCGGAACGCTTCGGTCGCAGTGACAATAAACGACGCGACCTCTGTATGTGGCTGGGCTTCGGCGAGGGTCCACGCAGCTGCATTGGCCTGCATTTTGCGCAGCTTATGATGCGTCTACTAATAGCACAATTGATCACGCGTTACCATTTCAGTGTGGATCGTACGCGTTTGATGGTCAAACCACAGAATGTGATTAGACTGCGTGTGGACCCACTCAATGAACAGCCAGAGGGTAGGGAGGCTGAAGTGGTCATTTAGCTGTATGCCATGTCATTATTAGGTTATTTTAGGTTTTTACAGGGTACCTTAGTCGCAGAAAATTAACTTTGAGAAACGCAACTATTCTAAATATTTATTTATGTTTATGCCGATTTACGCCTTGAAAATTAAATAACACAAATGGACTGTGAGTTTTAGGGGGGGATGTAGTGTTATATAATAATTAAGATTTTTGATTTCAAATGCTTTTATTAGAAGTCTAAACAACTGTTTATAATGACAGAAACGAGAGTCTAGTTAAAGGCGGTGAGCACTCCACTGCCGAGCAGTATTGACTTAGCTTTAAGTGTAGAGACAGTTTGTATATCAATTACAACAACAATATTAATTGTAAATAAATGAAATAATATTATTTTAAAACCAGTCTTCTCTGACTATTTATTCGTCTCCCCATTGCCAAGGCATTGCCGCTGTATTTAGATAAACTAATCTTTATATTGTAACAGTTGATTTTTCGGCATGACCAAGCAATACTTGTTGGAGTTTATTGGAAATACTAGCTTTCATGCCACAAATATACCATAATCGAAGCCAAAAAACTTATACATTATAGTATAATCGAAGCGATATCGCCATAACTTCGAAGGTACTACAGAAAATTACCTAAATGCCGCTATGTCTGAATTAGCATCCCCTTTTAGACAGGGTGACTCCCTATCATGGAACTTCTTCATTCTATTGCTGAAAAAATATTACGAACTGCAGAGCTAAATAGAGAAGCTGCAATCTTCTATAAGAGTGTACAGCTACTGGCGTACGACGATGATATTGTTATCAAGCGAAGCATATGGGTCGGGTAGTGAACAAGGACAGAATGAAACATCGCCTATCAACAAACAAACAGTCTACGCATACATAACTTGGCTCCCACGTCACTGTTGACAGTCACAAGTTTTAAGTCGTAACAGCATAAATCTACATATGCATAAGTATATAAAATCTGCTATGTGGTGTAGCTTAACAATTTATTTAGTTAAGTTGGTAATTGTGGGAACAAAACTAATCTGCTCTCCACGCAGCATTTCACAGACCGCATGGCAAATAACCCTTGATAAAATTAAGTCCCACATTTCACTTTCAAGCCCAAACATTGCACGTAAATTATAAACATATTGCTAATTGCGCACGTTTCAATTAAGTGATGATGACGGGGTTCATAGCTGGTCAAGGTGGCTCTAATCATTTGCAAGTATAAACACAAAACAAGCTCGGGCGGCACAACATATGCACTTGTTGGAATATAACGGTGGCAGAAGTGCAATTCATGCCGCACGCATAAATATGTACAACAACAATGAAAACCGCGAAAACCGCAAAACAACCACTTTCTTTCGCTCGCCTGACGGATTACACCTGACAGCTGGACAACATAAGTGCGGGCTCTAACTCCACAAACGCGAGCGAGCGGGTCAAACCGGCGACTGTTCGCTTGATCTACTATGTTTGCACGAAAGAAAGTCAAAACGCTCCGATGCCGACAATAACCGTCAGTTAATCTGTTGATGCGTTCAAGCTGAAAGTCAAATAGACAGCAACTGCAAGCCTTCAAACAGCACAGAGTCTTATTAGTTTCACTCTTTATTGACTTTATTTTATTGTCGGCTGTAAAATATAAATTAATGCCAGCATAACTGTATAAATAACAAATTAAATGCTTTATGACCAAATTTAATTGCTGCACTTTTACATATGTACACGGATGTACAATACATTCAGCGCCAACATAAATCTATCAAATATTGTTTAATAACTTCGTCTACAATGTACTACAACAACCACCACGCTGCTAATACATCGCATTACAATAATAATGCAGGCACATGTAATAAAGTTTATTGGCAAATTGCACCTTTTAGTAACTTCATTCAAGCATTGCAGCCATCGAGGAGCGCTGCTTTTATTCCACGAACTAATTCTACCCATGCAGCCTTGGTAAGCGATATCTACGGCCGCAGCGAAGCGTAACATAACAAGCCAAGCAACTCTGCCAATGAACGCTGTGAAACGTTTTCCGCAGCAAGCAACGCCGAGTACAGTGGGTCAAAAGAAATATATTTTTAAGCAATATTGCAATGGTCAACGAATATCTATATGTACATACACTCAAGATCAAAATTGACCCTGACAAATCTTTTCCGTCGTAAACAAACAGCTGCCAAACACACACTAATTAACATATTCCGATGAAACTTCGCACATAAAAAAGTTTACGAGAATTTAGCAAAAGGTTTTGTTCGTTTCGGTTTACGCTAACAGTTTATATGGACCAGTTCGGGTCATATTTGATATTTAGTGTTAAGATATACTCCATTTGTAACGCCATTAAATAGAGAGGCGGCTGCAAACTTCGAGCTTACTCGATTTGACAGTTCCAGCCAAGCTGCATGCAGCAAAGCGGCGGAAAACTTGCTTAAAAATTTGGCAAAGTGAGAAGAACACTTATTTGACCTCATTTGCCTAAAAATTACATTATTTGGTTTGAAATGCCTCGCGGAAAAAACTTAAAAAAGTATTAATCCCGAGCAAATTTCATACTGTTAATACTTTCCCATAACTTTTTCCGTATTTACACACTGTGCGACAACATTAAACAAGATCTAAAGCACCGGCAAAGAAATACGTTTTTGCAACAGATGCATTATAATGGTATTTAGTCTTACTTTGATTCTCAAAGTGTTCATAACCAGTAGTCGGCAACTAATTGGCCTACTTAAGGCAAAATAAAGGGAACTAGATTATTCAAAAAAAGTCAAAATAAAATTTCCATCTCGTAATGCCGTAGTGGTGAGAGCCTCTAGTCCGTTCCAGATGGATATACCATAAAGTTTTGGATCGGTCTCTTTTTGAAATACGCAACAAATAAAAAATATCTTGTACACCTAATGTCAATCGGCTAGGGGATTTTCGAAAATTGAATGACTTGTAAACATATATAAAATTTTGCTGATTCCAACATTTATATATTTTCCATTAGCAAAACATATAAGAGACGCAAATGAAACAATCAGATATTTATCGTAAACGACGCTGGCTGCGAACGCTGACTGCGAACTCTCAGATCACTCGATATACGCACACTTGATTCTGCTTGAGGCTCGTCACGTAATGAACTGCGTACGCACTAAACACACGCATACCAAAAAGATTTCCGCACATTGTTCACAACTAATAGATTAATTGTGGGAAAGGTGGGACCCGGAGAAAGTTCAGTGTTGGCAGTTATGCGTAGATGCTGGTGACAGATTGCCTCGAATGCCCTTTGATGTCCGCAAGCAATTAAATAGTGAGCTGACAAATAAACAATGAGATCGCGAGGCGAATATCGAATAAATGAACAATATAAGTCAAATATAATACTAATTTTGTTAAGAGGTGTTCGAGTTTTTCGATAGGCGAAAAGCGAGGCCTCTTTCTTTCCGAGACCTGCTGATTTAACGCCAATATGTAAATTGAGCGGATCAACAGCGCAGCAGCAGAGTGCTTAAATTGAACGCGAAACAACTTTAAACTATTAGTGTTGTTGTGTGAATATATACAGTGACTTTTATAATGAAATCACAATTACTTGCAGTAAATTTTGAATAAGTGTGAGTCTCTAATTTTCCGAACACAATTTTCGTATAGTGCCTTAAAAAGTGAAAAAAGCAATAAATAAAAAAAATGATCTTTGAGGCTTTGTGAGCTTCATATTTCCTCAAACTTTATAGATTTTAGGACTTTTTGCGAAATCGGTTAAAATTCCAATAAATTTTTAAATAGTATTGTTTTTATGGAAGCCATTCGTTGCGCGACCGAGGCACGCCTAAATTGTGCTGGCGCTTTTTTTTTCTTATTCTAATTGAATCACCTATATAAGACTGCTCTTTTCTAAGCCTATACGATTTTGTTTTGCCATTTATTAATTCAATCTCCGCTGGCTGCCATCCAAAGACATAAATACTACCGCATATTTGCTTCATTGTAGTTTTTTTATTAAACCGTTAATTAGCCGAACTTATTCATAATTCTATTTTTAGCGCCGATATACCAGCTTGGCTCTATTTTTGTATAATTCTTATTAATTTGAAAGATATCTTCATAAGTAACATTATTTTTTACAAATTTTCTTTTGCTCTTCTTGCGTGCGCGCTTGCGCCGTGGACAACGCCGCAGTCGGCGCGGAGCACTGTCATTTTCATTGATGCAATACCTGTCATTTTCTAGAGCTGTTAATTGAATTCCAAAACACCCCGCTGTTGTTTATGGGTGGGTCCAGCTCCAGCGGACCCGTTTTTCCAACGTCTACACGAGCGCACGCAAGTGAGCCGTGCAAGAGGTGAGGCGAGCAGATGTGGAGCTATTTAGATTAGTTTTCGTGCGCAGGGTAATTTAACTTGCAAATGTACACATTCCAAGCCGCTAAATAGTGTTATACAAAGCCACAAAAACAAAAACAGCGAACAATATATAAAAGTATAAAAAAGGTAAGACAATAAAAAGCCAAATACATCTGTACGGATGGTATAATATGCTTCAGATGCGATAACGTTGCGTTGGACAACAACAGCAACAACGATGAAATAATTAGCGACCATACCAACATCGCTTTCACTTTCAGGGGACGCTCGTCAACGCCAATACCCGGCCGCGTCGCAATAGCCGCAATATTTTAGCGGCCCTCGGCCGACGGCGCGTTTATGTCGTAAACACAGAAGAGCGCGCATGCATTGCGTGCAACTTCTATACTTTTTTCCGTATTTGTTTGTATTCATTTTTTTGTAATTTTTCTGCACTTCTCCTCAGATCAGCGACACTGTGTTTGTTGCGTTAATTGCCGCCGTCGTCACTGCGTCTATTCTTCTTCTTCTCCTAATACACGAGTAACAACAAAGCCACACCGGCATCTGCGATTTTCCGCAGCACCAAATCAAGTGAACTGCCAGCTGCCAGCCGCGACGAACATGACAAAAACGCTTAAGCAACAACGCGTCAGTCAACCTGCCAGCTAACCCGGTTGGTCAATCAAACGCAGTCAGTGCAAAGTCAGTCAGTCGAGCAGTTCACAGCGAAGCGGTCCAATACCGCTGCCTCCACTACCAAACGTACAAAGTAGTCGCTATTTTGCGCTGCACCTAAATATGGATCCGCTCACAGTTTTGTTGCTCTCGTTCATTATCCTGGCGCTTATTTGCATACATTTGCACCGCAAACAACAATATTGGGAAGCTCAGGGCATACCGCTGCTTAAACCGTTCTTGTTCTTTTTCTATGGGCGTGGACGCATTGGCACCGATTGTCATGCTATCGACATACCCAATGAAGTCTATCAACGCTTCAGAGATTCGGGTGCACCTTTAGCGGGCATGTTCATGCTCAGCGATCCACTTATCATACTACTCGATTTGGAGCTCATCAAACATGTGTTGATTAAAGACTTTGCCAACTTCAGCTATCGCGGGCTCTACCACAATCTACGCGATGATCCGCTGATGGGTAATCTAGCTGCAATCGACGGTCCTTACTGGAAGCGTCTACGCGCCAAATTGACACCATCTTTCACTACAGGCAAAATGAAATTTATGTATCCCACACTCATAAAAGTGGCCCAACAGTTGCCAGGAGTTGTGGATCGGCGCATCTCCGACGAAGGCGTAATCGATGTAAAAGATCTATCAGCCTGCTATACCACAGATGTGATAGCGTGCTCTACACTTGGCATTGAATGTGATAGTCTACACAATCCGCTTGAAGACTTTCGTCTGATTACCGTTAAGTTCTTCGAGGAGTACAGTGTAACCCGTGATTTGATTAGCCAACGCCTACCGCAGCTCGCCAAAATGTTGCACTGGACCAACACACCAAAAGTGGTGACAGATTTCTATATAAAAGTTGTGCGCGACAATATAGCCTACCGTGAGGAGCATGGCATAGTACTACAAGACTTCTTGCAAATTATGATCGATCTCATTAAAACGGAATCACTCACAATGGAAGAGATTGCTGCTCAGGTGTTTGTCTTCATCATTGCGGGCTATGAGACCACTTCGACGACCATGACAAATTGTCTGTGGGAACTGGCAGTGAACGAGGACATACAAGAGCAAGTGCGCGAGGAAGTTGTACAGGTGATGCAGGAGCACGATGATGTGCTCACTTATGAGTGTCTCAAGCAAATGACCTACTTGGATCAGGTGCTCAAAGGTAAGTGAAAAGCGTTTAAGTTGTATGATGGACGCCAAGGGTAGCACGAGATGTGCAAATATACAAAATGTTGAATGTGAAAATATAGAAAGAGATCTCTGATAACGCATAATTGTAGAAAATGTGGCAATTAATTCCTTTAAAGCCATAAAAAAGCCAGCCGAAAGACATTCGTATTTTTTATGACTTAGAATTTATATCGCTTTTATAGCACACTGCATCACTTTCAAGAAAAATATAAAGTTGCGTCCAGCAAAACCTGTATCAACAAGCAATGTTTATTGTTATGAATCGAAAATTAGAGCTTATTTGCTGGTAGACTCGTATGCGCATGAGCAAAAGCAATTAGAAGCACAGTTTTCGCTTTTGCTGAGACCTTGAGAGTAATTTAGCTAAGTGCTCGGTCATGCAAAGAATTTTGCCATTAAATGCAAGTACTAACAGGTAAATAAATTAGTTAACAATACTCGTCAAATTAAGTGTTTACCTTTTAAATGAAATGCACATAAATAAACTAGGAAAGTCAAATTTGCCTTTACAATTAAAATACAAAGTATATTTTTAAGTAACTGGCTCAATGTCGTTGGAAATATTTTTCCATTTGGCAGATAAATAAAGTTCGTCTTCTTTCAAGAACGAGTTTCACTGTGCTTTGGATTCTCTTCTTTTTACCCGCTCTCCCCTTTTTTGCAGCAATTAGGAGACACAGATATGTTATACGTATATCCCTTATTCGCATATATTTCTCCAAACTACGAGCTTTGCAACTCATCTTTACAATACGTTATCCGGTCAGGATGCTTTTAGCGACGAAATTGCATCAACGTAACTTTTCATAAAGCAAAATAATTATATCTTTTCACTCTCGCCGCAGAAACCTTGCGAAAACATCCCATTGCGCCTGCATTAAAACGCGTTGCTTACGAAGACTATAAAGTACCTGGCACCAACTTTGTGATCAAAGCCAACACCACGGTGCTCATACCATCCGAAGCAATACAACACGATCCACGCTACTATCCAGATCCAGAGAAATTCGATCCGTTGCGTTTCACACCCGCAGCCATGGAGGAGCGACACCCGATGACATTCCTACCATTCGGCGATGGTCCACGTAACTGTATTGGCTTGCGCTTCGGGCGCATGCAAGTGCTCATCGGTTTAGCAACGATGTTACGTAAATATCGTTTTAGTGTGGCAAAAACCACGCCCATACCGATTGTATACGACAAAACAATTTTATTACGTGCGCCGAAAGGTAAAGTGGAGCTCAAATGTGAGCGTTTAGTTGAGGAGAAATTTGCCGATCACATACAAAAGGGTGCTGACGAAGAGATGGAAAACTTTGCCGCAAGCATAAGAGAGAGGCGTGAATATGAATTTACAGATGGTGAAAGAAATAAATAATGGAATGGGTGTACGAAAATTCGATTGTGGTTCGGTGAAGTTTGAAATTTTGTATTAGCGGCAGCCACAATTAGTTTGAGTCTTTTGAGACTATTTTATGAAGAGGTTGTAATGATGCTTAGTGAAGCTAAGAATTATTTTAGACTTGCTATGAAAAGGTTGTGAAATTTTTAAGGGAGATTAGAGGCCCGGAGAGAATTCGAAAGTTGAAAAGTCTCGCCAAAAACATTATGTACCTAAACATAGAAGTATATGTAGTTACGAGCTCTATGCGCTCGCTTAGTTGCTTAGTTAGTGCTCAGCTTTAATGCGACCAAATAGCTCAGCTAACGTAACGGTGCTTCAGAACCGTTCACCAAATAAAAGCGTTAAAGCTTTTACGATCACAATTTATATACACACATACATATATATAATATATATTTACACTACATATGCATATATTTTTAACCGTTATATTTACACTCACGCATGTTTTATTAAATGATTTATTCGAATAAAAAATGTTATTTTGTATTTGTATTCTTTCAAATTAATTCTTTTGATTTTTTATTTTGAAAACATCATTATTTATATTTTTTTAAAAACTGCAAGTAAGTATATTTTATATTAAATTACTTAATTTCTTACATGGTAGATATGTATAAATATTTTTATATAATTGTATATATTCAAATGCGTGCTCAGTTTTAAAGGAAAAGCTGTTGCTACTTTTATTTCTGTGCTTTTTAGATCTGTTCCTTTTTTGTTGTTGAAAATTGACTCATGTGCCGTTGTAAATAGCGATTGTTAAAAAGTGTTGTGTTTTTCGAAGTTTTCTATACAATTAAATTGCAATTAAAATGTTTCTATTATGTAAGTATTAGCTTTTTGCTAACAACTTTTGGTGGAATTTACCGTTAAGATTATTTTGTGTAACTTTTTAACAAATGTAATTATTTATAAGCATAGAAATGTTATATTTTATTGAAGTTTTGAGAAACTTACACGAGTCGCTTAAAAGTTAAGAAATCAATTATAGAAATTAAATTAATAATTTTTAACTTATTTTAAATGGTATATTATAAATAAATAAACTGCTGCATAGTTATTTAAAAGTTGATATAAATTTATTTATGTTTAAGATTCGTGCTTCCTTTTGTTAATATAAAGAAAAAATTATATAAATTATTTTGTGTATTTTCCATTATTTTCCTTCTTTTGTTCAAATATTAGCATTCTCCGTTACTTTTTTAATTCCAATAATAGCTTGGCATTAATTTCGTTTTCGCGAATTCGTTTCTTTAGTTTAAAATATTTTTTCTTTTGCAAATTTCGCTATAAAACTTGAGTGGAATGTTAGTGAGTGCTCGTCAAAAATTGGCATTAACGATTGATATGCTGCTGTCTTTTCAAAAGCTTTTATAAAATCTCTAGTAAAACCCGCACAATTCTTCGAGAATTTTAAACTTAACTTAAAGTACTACTAAGTAATTTCATTTGGCGCCAGCACGCTGCAGTGTCCGGCTAAGTGATATATTTTAAATACAGTGTACTGCCACTCTAATAGCAAAACTACTAATTTTAAGAAAAAACTGTCTAATTTGTTCGTTAATTTTTTTGGCTGGCATCGTTTTCAATGTTTTTCAATAATTTAGTTAAAAATTTACTTTTTCGATTCCATTAAATCACTTCTCACCAAAAACAGAATACATTATCTAGCTTGGGGAATTTTACTACTGCCTCCCCAACCCATACTAAGTGGGTTTCGAGCCACGAGGCAACTCCAGCGAAACGCGCGTGGCGTCTCCGCGATGGGGCTGCTTGCTACGCAGCATTTGCTCGTGCACGTACAACAACAAGCCAAGGTCCCGATGTCCAGCCTGCCAGGCAATTTTGAAAGCCGTAGCGCCATCCTGCCATGGAACAAGTATATAACATATTATTGTAAAAATATAGTCAATAATAAGTCAAGGTACACGCACCACATCCACTAAAAGCGAATCGCAATCGGGCTGTGACAACAAATGCTTAACCAGGTCCGTGCGTCCATTGTCGGCGGCACACATCAGCGCTGTGCTGCCGTCCTCGTCCTGTATGTTGATGTCTGCGCCGGCGGCCAACAGCAGCTCTGCCATCTCTTTATTACCATGGGAAACAGCCAGTATCAATGCGGTCTGGCAGTGCTGTGTATGGGAGAGGAAAGTGGGAAAATGTTTTCGAGGGGAAGAAAGTTTTTTTAGTTCATATTTATTGGCCGAATTTCGTTTTAAACATCGCGAAAGAGTAAGGAGTAAGCATGCATATAAAAGCAAACATACGTTTTTTATTTCGATCCCAAGAGTGTAGCATTAATGGGGCCATTACCTACCTTTTTGGCTCGTATATTGACATCGGCCATCTGGAACAGTCGTTGTACGACTGTGCGATGCGCAGCGTTTTTAAGCTTTGCCAATGAGACGAGCATCACACAAGTGTATCCAGCGTTATTCATTTGATTTACATTGCAAACCTTTGAATCGAGTAGAATGGATACTACGTCAAAATTGCCATGCGAGACCGCATAATGCATTGCAGTATTGCCCTAAAAAATAAAAAATTAAGCACTCAATGATTTTCGGCTTCAGCTTAACACGAAATGAAATCCACTCACATTAGCGTCCACCATATTAACACAGTACTCCAACAGCGCCACCGACATTTCCTCAAAACAGTCTAAATAGTCCTCCACTTCATGTGGATTTGCTTTCTCGGTGCTAGAGATACGAAACCATTCTTGTTGTATCACCAATTTGGATGATTTTAAGCTAACCGCCGACAGAGACTTGGCATCGATTTTCTTCAACAGCGAGTTATTGATGGTCTTCAAAGCATTCAGCATTTCGGCAGGCGGAACGAATCTGAAATCGTAGAAAGCAGTTAAATAAAACGTTTATTTAATCAATTAAATCAGGTTACAACATACTTTTGTCGTGGCTCCGCCTCAACCATTGCCAATTTTTGCAGCAACTCTTTCGATGGTGGACGTTCCTGCACTTCGGTCTTATCTGTCTGCGACTCATTTTTCGTTGTTACTGTCTTCTCCGCAGTACCCACTTGCTTTCTTGAGATATGACTAGATTTCTGTGTTGTTGTCTTGCGGCGTGCGCCCTTTGACATATCAACTTCTATTCCAGTTTCCTCCTTTGCTTCGCTCTCCTCAGCCAACACTCCCGCTGCTGTTTCCAATGTGGACTCCCTGAGCTTTTCGTTGAAAGAACTCTCCAAGGAACGATATGGCGAAGCGCCATCTTTAAGCGGCGCTGGTGATGCATCGCGCGACCAGCTGACACTCACACGTTTCTGCTCACGCACAATTATTCCATCGAGACTCGGTTGTAGTGGTGTAGTCTCATCCACTTTACTATCGTCAAGCGGTTCAGCGTTCTTTTGACTGGCATCGGATGCTCGACGCGAATTTGCAGCTGAGGAAGGGGCAGTTAGGGATGCATTTGCTGTAGTAGGCGTAACCTTGGCACCAACGTTAGGCGCAGTAGATTTAGGCTCGGTTATGAAACTCTGCGTTTCACTGGCTGACTCCGCTGGTAGAAAGTGGGAAACTGATGGCGGTTTCTCGGTTAACGAACTAAAAAGACAGGAACATTTTTTTCTTTATTTTAAGATTTCTAAAACCATAAAAGTCTTGAGCTCACTATACACCTTACGTACGTTAGCAGAAGCGCTGAGCAGCCACTTACTATCAAAGGATAGCAAGTGAAGCTGCTAAGCCCAGAAAACATTTATTTGCCGCCGCGTTATCTCCGGTATTTAGTTAACCAATTATAATATTCTACCACTAACAATAATTGACAGGCGCGTTTATAAAAACCAAATAAAACTCGTGCGAAAACACAGCAATAAAATATTTACGCACACCAAATGCAATAACTGAGAATTCTCCTGAAAAAGCAAAATAATGCAAAAAAGCTAAGCACGCGTGACCGCGTCCGCGAATGCTTTAGTGTGGTGCTATTGAAGCGTGCTACCGCGAACTGCGTGTCCCTGATGTGAATCGGGCTAAAGTCACTGGGAAAATTTTTGGGAGAGCAAATTACGTTGAAGGTCATTGCAGCATAAGCATACGTAAAGACAGTACAGTGGTAGCAAATGGAAGAAATCTGAAATTTTGTGTACTACTTAGGGGACTATTAATCATTTTCTGATAAATCACTCTTTGAACCAGCTTTTGTTATGGAAATTAGCGTTAAATATAGAAATATTATGGGGTATTTACTTATATAAGATTTTATTATCTATAAAAATATTTCTAAATATATTTTCAGTTCATTCATAGCATGTTTCACAGTCCAGCTCCAAATGATTGCGAGCACCCGTTGAAAGGCGCATGCGTCAGTCAGAGATCAAAATAAATATTTGCCTTCTGAAATGTCAACGCACATATACAAATAGCGCTACTTGACTTGTAGTGGAGCAAAAGGTTAGTGGAGCAGGTCAGGGTAATGAAGTGGTAAAATATACACCACGAATTTACCACAGCATAGTAGCAAAAGGTGTGTGCACTTGCTAAGTGTTGAATAAATATTTGCTTAGCGAAGTAGCAAACCTATAAACACACCACACTTCGTTAAGGAAATACTCACCTCTGTGTTGGCTTTGTTGTCTGTTTTTCCGGCGTTGTTGTTATTGTATATGTGTTCTGCCGTTGAAAAGTGCGTCGTACTGGACTGGGGCTAGGTGGTACGTTTTTACGCAGCGGTATGCGCGAATCCATGGATGCGCTTCGTATAGGTGCTGGTGGACGCAGCCGTGGAGATGGTGGTGATTGAGGCGACAACACTTTCGAGAAGTCTTTGGCCAAATTTTTAATTGCATCCTTGCAGGAATCACAGTAATTATCCGCGCAAGCAATGGAAATATGTGGCTTGACAACGTCGCCGCAACCAATGTCCCGTTTTCGCACTGAATCTGTGTTGGCTGCGGTATGACGTATGGGCGCAGGGGGTAATGTATTTATGCCGTAATCTACGGTACGTGGTTTGTCCGTATTGCTGGCAGTTGATCGCGTTATTAGTTTAGGTGGCGCGGGTATTTCTTCTTTTGTAGGTGGCTCTTCAATGACAATTGGTGGCGGTATGTACTCTTCGGTACTAGTTTGTGTTGTACAAAGCCGTATTAAATCACGTGTGTCTGTACAACGCGTGTCGCGCGCCACCTCACTTTGTACGCTAGCATGACGCTGTTCGGGCATGCATTGTACACCGACGGCGTGTACATATGTGGTTGCGGTTTGGCAGCCGGCGCTATTTACGGAGACTGGCGTGTATTGCGTGCCTGTGGTCTTTCGTATACGCCCGAGTCGATCATGTTCGCCTAATGAGAATGTCTTGCTACGTAAAAACTCAGGTGAATCGAGTAGTTTCAATGAAACTGATTTTACTTTAATGAAGCCGGGGTCTTCGGTGCTGCAGGCAATGCTATGTTTCACGATATTACATTTCTCACACAAGGGATCCAGAATATTGTCCTCTGAACAAGCTGTGGAGCGCATTTCAGGACGACAATTAACATAAGCATCCCTTGTTGCTGGGCTCACCATAACGCTCACTGAGCTCTTAAGTACCTTCGGCTCTGCTGTGGTTTGCGCACCCCTATCAACACTGTGTGGTGCTTGCATTTGCGTGCCGATATGTGTCACCTTCTTAAGCTGCTGAAGTGCGCGTTCTTCTTCGTAACGCGTGATTGCTACTTGCGTATGCTCTTCCATTTCCCATTGCGAGTAAAGTGTTTCAGTGATGCTGTTTAACTGCTGTGCAGGGCTCGTACCCACGCTGCGCACCATGTGCACTGGGCTGCCGACTGCAACATCACGTTTTGTATGCAGCCCGCACATAGTACCCACATCGCGTTTAAGTGTAGATGGTGTGCGCAACTGTCGCTCCGAACTGCTTGAGTTGGCGCGCAATCGGGATCCCAAGCTTTCCAAAGAAACTGGGCTAATGCGTTGTGGCGTAAACTGTACCGGTGAACCATTTTTCATACTTGTGACCGGACTCGGCGAGGACGAGGTTTGCGGCGGTTCACGTGCACGCATCAGCTCATCTTCTTTCCGCTGAAGAGATTGTTGCAAACGCTGCTTCTCATCACGCAGCTGCGTCAGTTCATTCTGTGAACGTAAAAATATAAAACACTGTAGTAATAAAAAACAAAGATCAACTCACTTGAAGTTCCGGTATAGATTTGACTTGCTCTTCCAAATCTTTCATTCTCTTTAAACTCAGTGCCATCTGCTCGCGTATGCTAAACAATGTTTGAGCGTCAGCCGCAGCGCTTGTATCGGCGCCATTCGAAGTTGCAGGTAAGACAACAGGCGCTACAGCTACAGTTTCACTTGCCGGTGCCGCATTATCTGACTGCTGTGGCTTTCTATCGATCTCATCTACGTCTGTAGGTTCCGATTCACCATTGCTTGGACTCAACAGCTTACGTGGCTGTGGTACATGCCGACGCGGTGGTGGTGGTGGTGGCACCAGCTGTTCCACCGGTGATTTAGCATTTGCCGCTACTGTCGCCTGCACATATGACTCATATTGCTGCTCGGCAGGTGAAAGCTTCTGATGCACGGGTAACGCGGCGGCGGCCTTGGCTAGATAGCGCGTCGTGCGCGGCGACTTATTGCTAGATACACAGGAATCTAAAATGTCGTAAAAGGTTGAATTTCATTAAATAAAATACTTCAAAAGCTTAGCGCAAATATTTTCTGTTCGAATCTAAAATTCCTTCGAGGCTGGCTGGCGACTCACATTTTCGTTTATCATTCGGTTTGACTAAAATAATTTTGATGCGCAAACGTTCCATTAGCACACTCAACAAACAACTGACGAACGCACCGCTGTTCAGCGCCGTTCAAAGCCCCGTTAAGTAGGGGTTTTGTCGTTATATACTTTTTGGCAAATTGCAGTTATTTGGCGCTCGTTGTTATTTGTCTTCCGTCAACTGAACTGTTATTGCCTTCGTTATTGGTATTGCTTTTTGTTCGGTTTGCGTTTAGCTAAATCTCGATCTTATGCAATAACTTATAAATAAAACAAAGTCAGCAGCAGGTCGTCAGCGGTAACGTTAGCGTTAACAAAGACTTAAAGCCAGTTCGGCCTGTACAAGTTTATTTTTCATTGGCATTTGTTTTTCGATTTATTTGCTGTTATCGCAAATGTCGCGTTGCCGCTGAGCTCACGCTTGAGCTGTGGGGAAAGATGAGTGGTGCAGTAATGCGGTAGATAGCATTTGTCAAATGCCATTATTCACAAATTCTTATTACGAATTCGCTCGTACATATTTTGCAACGATAATTTATTATTACATTCAAGTTATTGATTTGAGTGAAAGCACTTAGAGACGACGCTAACATTTAGCATCTACAACGTATTCAAACTACATAAATACAGCTTGAGATGAAAGAGATTTTGAATCGTTTTTAATGCCAGTAAAAAGCACAAAGTCGACTCAATTTGCAAGGCTCTAGTTCTGCGTGAAAACCACTGTAATTGGCGATATTATTATAAGAGAAACCCATAGCGATATTATGCAAAATTACATTTGCATGACAAGTTAGTCATCGGGTCAACGCGATGTGAGAGGTATGAATTCTGATGTCAGCAGATAATGTAATCTATCTCAGTATTATCTATACGATTATCTACCCTCCTAAAACTTGTATAATTCTTAAAGTGTACGCTCCATAATCAAAAGTTTGAGGCGTACAGACATATTCCGCTTGTTGTACATGATTATTTACAGTTATGACTAGGCTTCTAGTTTACTACAACCATTAAATGGATTTTGTCGTTAAACTCATTGAGGTATTACCAGTTCGCCATAGAATATCAAACAACTGTATGGCAAATTCCATGCGAGTAGGTCGAATATCGCATACGAATGAGCCAACAAAATGTTTATTAGGCATTGCAGAATGTGAGAATCAGAAGAAATAAGTTGCTTAAATAGTAATAATATTTAATATAATTATTTTGTTTGTATTTACATAAGTGAGTTCCAATATTTCGCAGAAAATAATTTACTATAGCATATATTTAATATTCAACAAAAAAACAGAAAATATATTACAATTAACGTACAATTATTCCACCAGCTCTTCATGCCCTTTAGTCTCGATTTCGACTTGACAATAGTGTTTTCGTTAGAACTAAGCGGCGACTTGAAATCCTTACGTCGATTTACTCTTCCAGCAGCGGCGAACATTTTTTTAACAAATATTTTTCACTGCACATTACACAGCACTTAAGAAATGACAAAAACAAGGTGCTTGCAATTAAGAGGTCGTAGTTCAAATCACAACAATAACAATAAGCGACTGACGTCAAGCGATCACTGATAATTTGCCATAATTACAAAGCAAATAGCTCGCTGTTACTATTTATGGTGGAAAAATATTAATTTAAGACCGTACACCGTAAAAAATGTATATCAATTGCAATTATTGGCTTTCTAAAAGAGGAGTGATCGAAACAGCAAAACGCAGAGCAAGCTGGCGCTCACCTGGGGCTTAACTCTTAACATAGTGCTGTAGTATATGACGTTTTTGAAAGCTTTTGCTTGCAGGCGTAATGAAATTAAAAAAAAAAAATATTTAAAAAACATTAAATTATTGTTTTTAGTTTGGAAAATATTCTTTAGTTTTTTTTCAAATTTCCGAAAAAGAAAATTACGAATTTTTTAAACATTTAATACTAAACAAACTCGTATTAATTTCACACTTTTTAATTTCACTTTTAATTTGTAATTTTTACTTCACGGTTCTCCCACGTTCACACATAAAAACTAGTCGTTCTCGCTCTATTATCTATATTGGCTGTCTGTCGCAATTTAGCGGCTTTCATTTCAAAATTTAATTAACGGCTTTTACTGACCGACACATTTTACTACAAAAGCCGCTTTGCTTTATTTTTGCACAATTCTTCACATGACTCGCTTGTTTTCACAACTCCCGTGCAATTCCTCTATTATCGATTGCTTTTGTTGTTGGCCTAATTGCTTTCATCGCCAAAAGATTTTTTGCATATAAGGCTTAAAAAAGCAGAAAATCACTTTAAAGTAGTGCAATTATTTCAATTACTTTGTTTGATTGTCATTAGCCTTGATTAGTTTAATTGCTATTGACTTTTCAACTTTGACACAAAGCGTTTTGCTATTAACTTTTTCTAGACAAAAGTTATTGAATTCACTTTGTTCTTTCACGCTCCTCTCGATACGCCTGCGATTGCTGCCGCCTGAGCGTCCACAATAGACTGATGGGCGGCTAATTGCGCTTTCTTCGCTGCTGATTTTGCAGCGTCTTTCAATAGCTCAGCATCGGCGAAAGAAGCGAAATTACGAGCGGCTTGAAATTTTTCGGTAGACTACTCATTGAGGCTAAGCGCAGAAATTGCAAGTTAAGTGCAAAATCGCGCGTGAATTCCGCGCAACTGCAGCGCCGTAAGAGTGGAAAATTACTACAAATTATGAAACCAGTGATTGCCTACAAATATGTAACAAGTGCCATAAATTGTTATAAATAGTTGTTATTGATTTTTCTACGCAAGATAAAGTTGGTAATAAACTACGCTGCAGATGATGTACATATGTGCCTTAGCTAAGTGTTTTCTGCCATTATCTCTTATTCCGCTGATAAGCGAGATACAATATGTATACTACTGAGTACGGCAAGTTCATAAATCATTGGCCATAACGGCACAGTATTTACACGGCGCTTCGAGTAACTATTTACCATTTCAATTTTTTGGAAATGAGTACACTTTGTGTGAGAAAGTGAGTGGAATGAGAGGTTTAGCGAATTGGAAGTCGAACTTGAACCTAATATTGCTGCTGATTAAGTCGCTTTCTAGTTCACTGTTATACAATATATATTTTTCTGATTTCGGGTATTCCAAGCCCACTTGCTATATACGACTCTAATATAATACAACCAAAAGACTACACACTAATACCCGCTCACTCAGCCAATTCACTTCGCGTAGGAAATGATTTACTTTTTCATGTTTTATCTCTACCCATTTGTTTTCATTTTCTCGGCGCGCCGCACGCACTTCTGTATTTAAAGACACAGTACCTACATATGTATCTAAGTATATGCTCTAATACCTTCGCGTGTGATCTCCGCACTTGTGCTGATGAATCACACACAAGAACTGTGGAGTTAGAGATACGTCACAGATGCAACTCGTTGGTTCCGCTTTGTGTGACGGCGCACATTTGACGCCAAGGTAGTTGCGCCGTAAATTGGCTTGGCATTTTTATTTTTATTTTTTTTTTTTTTTTTATTTATTTTTTTTGCTTTTTTGTATACTGTATTTTTCAGATCTCAATTTTTATAATTTTCACCACACAATTCTTCTTATGCGTTTTTCTTTTTTTCGAACTTCGACAAAATAAAAGATGCTTTTTTGGCGCGCGCAATGCTTATAGAATGGCAAACCGACCCTGCTTTTGGCTAAAATCGCCCGGAAAGTGTACTATTCTATAATACATATATAATTCTACTTCTATTGCATTCGAATAATCACGCGTCAACATTCTACTAACGAAATGAGTCAGCGATAAAGTCACTCAGAAATTAAACAAAAAAGTGTTCACAAAATAACAAAATGTAATTTAAATACAATGCGCGCTCGAAGTCTATCATGTCCAACCTCTGGCGACCTACATTTTAGCAGACTTTATGCATTTACTTACAAAAAGCGAAAATTTGCATAAGACAAACTCAGACAGATATGCACGCACATATATGTACTTGCAAACTCAAAGAATAAATTCTGCAACAAGTCGGTATTTTATGGCTTAGGGCAAATAATTCAATGTAGACACGACCCATTGGTGGCGACAAGCGCGGGCCATGCATCTAAAACGATCGAGGTGTGTCTATCACCACTGATTTGCCAGGCTATCTGGCGGTAAACGGCAATTAAATGCATTCAAATATTTGCCAAAAAGCAAAGTATGTGTCACAAAAATTCCGAGCACATTGTCCAAGTACTGCTATAAAGTGTCGCGAATGACCCTCGTTCTATTCAAAACCACGCAAATCATACTCACCAAGAGACTGTTCGACAGGCCGCTCCCAGGCATAGCACAAACGCTTGCCATTACAGTTGTAGCCATTTCGCGTGAAATTATCACGCAGCCAACTTGCGGTGCCCAATTTTGTCGGCGGCAAATCCGTCTTCATTGCATATGTCGGCTGATGATTGTTGTTGCGATCGCTCGCCACGCCATAACCGTATAATTGACCATTCAACGTGCCAGCATTGCCACCAATACCACCCCCACCACTAAAACTGCCATCACGCTCGTTACAGCTTACCGCCTTCTTGCGCCGCAACGATGTGCGCTCCAGCGTACGCTCAAAGTCGCTGCACACCTCGTCGAGCGCTTCACGCAGGAAGGCGCGCGTTTCGGGCGCATCACGTCGTGATTGATGCTCTTTGTAACGCTGACGTAGTATGCTGTAGGGCGCGTCACTCTCTGCACCGCGCACGGATGAACATGTTGACGAAGCTGTGCCGTAGGGCGATTCAGCGCGGGGCGCACTGCTGCTGCTATCGTAGTTGTAGCGCGGCACCGAGGAGGAGCGCGGACGCGGCGTAGATGTGCAAAAGGTGGGGTGTGAGGCGGACGTGGGCGTAGGTGGTATGGGTAGCGGCAGCGGGCGTGGTGAATCGGGTGAGTCACTTTCGTACGGCACCTGTAAAAGAAATTGTTATGATAAGTGTTTGAAGTTTTTTGGGTTATAAGTTAGTGACAAAATGCATGTTCTGTAGGAATATAAATAAAAATATTTTATCACATCACTTTTTGTTTAACGGTGAAGTGTGCGGATATTTTCAATTAATTTTTCATTTGGTGGCGCCTTTACAAATTCACTTTCGATTTCATAAGCACGGCACTTTTATTCGTCGAATTGCAAATAATTTGCAGAACGCTCTTTGATGTCGCTCACGTGTGGAGCACTCGAGCAACTCAACGTCATTATTATTCCCCTCTTACAAACATGACACTTATGCATCACTTTGTTTTTCGCCCTTCTCTGTGAATTTGTAAATATCTTCGCGTTGCTGCGTTGGATTTTATTTTGTTTGGAACATCAAAGTCTGTATTTATGACTCAAAGGCAAGTAAAATTGTCATTCGCTTCTTGAGCACCCTACTGATGCCCCCTCTTAAACATGCAGTTGTAGTTATTGTATGGTTATGTTTTTAAATGGCATTTGCAGCGCAATTATCTTCGGTATAATGGAATAATGTTTTAAGAAATGATCTGGAAGAGGCTCAATTAAGGACAGGAAGCAATTTTCGAAAAATAATGTTTTCATTCATTCGGCAGGGAAACTATTTGCATTCTATATGCCTATTTATTTTTTTACAAGCCTCATAATTTCATCAGAGTGCTGTGAGAACACAAACTGAAAATGTGAAAAAATCGACCAACAGAGATGCTCTTACATTAATGTTATTAATGACATTTTCGTTCGTTTCGCTCTGTTAGTTACAATTCTCGGAATGTTAATAAAATCATTAAATACTATTTTATTCACATTTAACTCAAATAAGACGCTTATAAAAAAGGCAGATATTGTAATTTATGAAATAATTAAGTTCTATCTTCAAAATACTTGCAATCTATAAACAAATTTCTGTGCAATTCTATCTGCTTTGCTATTCGATTCATCAAGTCCATAGAGTCTCTAACCCAGAAACTTAGAAATGCAAACTATATACTTCCAAAGAGCACGCTGAGCCAGCAACTCAATCTGACAATAACCATAACATCGCCATTAAAGTTGGCTTATTTATTAAAAATCGCAGCATTGCCTTCTAACCCGGCAATGAAATAAATTTTCAAAGTCAGCCTTTAACCCAACATAAACTATTAATCATAGCAGGCAGTCCGGCGACTGCATATCCACAGCACATTCTTATATCTTTGCATGCACCCAAATAAATATATAAAACCAACAAAGCCATTATATTGCACGGCAAACTGGGACTGCCGTTTGCGCCAACAAGCGCACAAAACTCAATTAAATGCCTCGACTTGGCAATTTGACTTTGGAAACGCCGCCATTCAATTCATTTGTGCGCCACAGCGCTTATCGTTTATGGCATGCAACACTAAACAACGGCACACAAACATCTTTACCAACACACTGCGCTCACTCACTCACCTCTGGCACTGCCTGCACCCGTGCAGCGGCATCCCATTGCTCGAACATTGCGTCCAAACCCAGCATGAATTCCATAGATTTGCGCGAGCGCCGTCGACTGCGCCGCTGCAACTCCTCCTCTGATGGCTTGGCATTGGCCAGCGATTCACAGTAGCGCACAAAATCCAAATCGATGTGGTAACCGTACGGACAGCAATTGCAGTTGCGCACATTCGCCACGGCAGCGGCAGACGCCACAGCCGTATTGCCGGCATACAATTGTGGCAGACGACCTACAGCAAAGAAAGATAAGCAAACGAAGGTATCGTTTAGAAAAAGCAATAAGTGATCAAATGGAAAAGTGCTCATAAAAATAAATACTACGTAAATTGTTTATGGGTAGTCGAGGTGGATATAGTAAATTATAATAACAAAAAGTGCTGCCAAGCGAGCGGAAACACTTTGCTAATAAATATAAGAAAGACGCTGCAACAAAAGGCGGTACAAATGCCGACTAGGCGGGCAAAACTGCAGACTTTACATATTTTATGATTCTCTGTAAGCTTAAAAAACGTACTAGAGGCAAGCAAAGCGGCGCTGTTGCATTCATTCAAAGGCATGCCTGGCAAGCAAAATCCCACAAAGCACGTTTGCACTAGGTAAATATTTTGATGAAGGGAAGGTTGGCGGTGGCATGAACGAGTGGATATACGGGATATTGGCTATATAAATAGCTGTTTGATGCGGCATCTTGCATGGAGTGACTGAGCGTGCGCGCAACTAAGTGGCAATTTCTGCAGCCACACAGGGTGGGTGTAGTTTGCTTAAGACACTCATGGCAACACTAAAAACAATTTCAAGCGGTGAATAAAAAAAGTAATTTAAAAATTGTCCCCTCCCCATTCTCATAAAACAACTCGACTTTTGTCGAAACTCTTGTATTTCTCTACTTGAAGCTAGGAATTCCTGTAAATTAGAGATATAAATAAAGAGAGCCCAAACTTTGGACACATACAAAATACACACACACATTTAAAAATTATAATTAGTGTCTATAAACTTTGCATATAAAGAAAGAACTAAAATTGAAAACTAACTAATTAATATATACAATAACATAAGAATGCGAGAATATCGCAAAACTAATCGCTGGCAGTGTCGTCCAGCCACACTTGAAGCACAACGAAAGACTGCACACAAAGTAGCAATGCTCGTCAGACGAAGATGTGTGCAAAAGTGCAAGACAAACAAACAATAAAAGTACAAAGTAAAGATACAATAAAGAGTTATTATTAAAACTCGCCATCTCATTTGTATAGTATGTCATTTTCAAGGTCAAGTTTGAAATTCGAGACACGTCTCTGCTCTGCGCGCTCAAGTCTAGCAACAACAACGACTATAATAAAATATAAGCGATTCTTGGAATACTTTGAAGGTGATTTGGTGCAAGTAGCGTCAGATCGCAACAAAGCAAGCTACAAACGAGCAAACAAATAATAAGATCGTTGTCGAATCGAGCAATCAGGCATAGCTAAGCAACAAGCCAAAAGAATTGGCCGCTTATGCACGGTCGTAAATCTTGCGCTTGGATTGAAGCCACAAAGCGCTAGAAAAAAAAAATAAAAAAATAAAAAAATAAAAAATACACCACCAATCCCAGAAAGGCAACATGAGATGCTTGATTATACCACACCTGTCATTAGCTTGCCCTTTTCTGGTGGCGCAGCAGTGAGATTATTATGAGGCAATAAAATTTAATAAAAAAAATATTTTTGTTGTACATCAAGCGATTTTTACTCGCACACAAATCTTTGTTTTGCTTACAAAAAATCACAACAATACTCAAGAAAAGGCAGACACAATTAATTTACATATTTGAAACATATAGTTACTTGGTCTTACTTGCCAGCTCTCTGAGGCTCTTCAATTGCTTGCGCTCCAATGCGCTTATCGTCTTGCCATCGACTGCAACACGTTTGCTAAAATGCCACAAGCCAACCCACAACAGGAGCACCGCACTCAGCAGCATTACGAGCATTTAGCTTTCGCACAGAAAAAGGTTTTCTAACGAGCGTGGCTCACGGCAAATAAATTAGCAAGCACTATATTCAGGGTATTC